TTAAACTGACCAGATATTCCAACTGATTAGAACATCAATCCAAATATCACTATTCAGACAATGATTATATAATTTAGCTAAAAATGGATACTAAATATAAAAATTAGAATTATATTTAGATATTCTTCATTCGATTTTTTTTAACTTCTCGCAGGGTAAGTTATTGTAATCGTCCAAAAATCGAAAATGAAAATTAATGCATATCTTCACGTTTTGAAGGTTTCTGAACATTTTGGCATACCTCAGAAGAAATGGATGTTTGTATATATATGGATACAATTTTTTGTTCACGTTTTGGGGCGCACGGATTAATCGATTTGAATGATTCAAAAAACATTCGATCCTTATTGATAGGGAGATGTGCTGATTAGATTTTGGCAAAGGCAGGTCCAACCGTTACGGAGATACGGAGCAAAGTGTGCAGAAAATTGAAATCGAGTTTTTAAGAGAAGGGAGCATTCGATTTGAATTATTCGAAAAACATTCAATTAATAAAATGATGGGAAGAAGTGGAGATTAGTTTTTGGCTGATTAATATTTATAATAATCTATTTGAGTTACGGCACGGAAAGTTCCAGAAATTTGCCTTAATGCACGATGCCATACACCACTAGTTTTAATTTTACATAATACAAATTATTGAGGAATAGAATTGCATCTTCTGGTGACCTACTAGAAATTCGTGAATTATTTAATTTATATAAGGGCGCAGTTTTAAACATAACAACTTAATTATTTATGGATTTAACAAGGATAATTTATAATATAGAATAATAATTAAAAAAATTGAAAAATATATTTTCATAAATGTATGTATCAATTACAACAACATAATTTGTTTTTCCTCAAATAGGTAAAAAATTGTGAATAAATTTGTGAATTTCAGTCAATTTTACCATGAAACAAAATTAATTTCCATATTATAAAATAGCAAAATGTAGTTTTACTCATAGACATTAAACTACATGGCTGTTATTCCTCATATATTTTCCGTTGTATCAAGTGCTCAAACATAGAAGGGTATGTGATGTCACATGTCTGAGCGAATATTGCCGACGACAATCGCGGATTCTCCCGATCGATTCAATGATACATGTCGTATGTTACGTGCCTAACATAGACATTATAATATATAAACCAATTTTAACAGGTGGATTCGATTTCATGTACATTAATAATATTATGAATATCATTTCGTACAAAATTATCAGTCCACACAATTGTCATTATATTATTGAAATAAAACTATCACAGATAATATTTGACTCAAATTAACTATTATGATAAATATTATTGAATATTATCAATATCATTTCTTACAAAATTATCAGTCTACACAATTTCCATTATATTATCAAAATAAAACATATGACATATAACATTTATTCAATCGGGAGAATTCCACGATTGTCGTCGGCAATGTTCGCTCAGACATGTGACGTCACATACCCTTCAATAATTTAGCAATTATTTTGAGTTCGACTAGCAGTCCATGTAATATAAGGTCTATGAGTTTACTACATATGGAATTAAATTTCAATGTAACTTTTGCAAAATGAAGCATCCTATGACTTTTGCCATATGTGTGGAAATATAAAGTGAAGTAATTTACTGAATTTGTATTCCTAGAACATGCTCGTGGCGTAAATAGTTCATCAACTGTGTTGCTTTCATAAATTTAAAGATATATATATATATATATATATATATATATATATATAATACAGTTGTTCTTGGGCGTCCATCTATTACTTGAAAATATTTTATTGGAGTAGAATATTTTATTGTCAAACGTTTCGGGTCCTGTTTTTACCCATCTTCATTGCAAAAATAATTTGACAAAAAAAAACAAAAAAAAAAACACGGAAAATATAATGCACTTACTATACAATTTCCAACGCACGAATTTTAAATACTATATAAACTAAAATAAATATTAAATTAACATAAAATAAAGGAAAAGGTTTTAAAAAAAACTCTTCTCGTCGAGACATGTTATATACGAGGTCTGTTCAAAAAGTACCCGGAATTTTCGTTTTTTCAAAAAAATATTTATTTATTCGTCTACATTAATGTGGTCCCCTTCAAAGTAGTCCCCCCCAGATATAATACACTTATGCCAGCGTTTTTTCCAATTTTCGAAGCACCCTTGATATTCACTTTTTGATATGTCCTTGAGCACTCTCGGCGATTCGGCCTTTATTTCTTCAATCGAGGAAAACCGCCGTCCTTTCATGGGTCTCTTCAACTTTGGGAATAGGAAAAAGTCACACGGAGCCATATCTGGTGAATTTTTGCACTTTGCAACACTTTATTTCATTTTTTACGCAAAATTTAATACAAATTCTTTGACTTTTCAATTCTTCCATTGTAAAAATCGCCGAGCTCAGAAAAACACGTCGAACCTTAGCGACTACCACAGACAAAGTAAACAGTGAATATAGCTGAAAATTTCATCATACTTTAGGGGCATGTATACCAACACAATAAAAAAAAAATTTTGACAATCAGACACTCCAGACCCGCGAAATTTAAAAATTCCGGGTACTTTTTGAACACACCTCGTATTTGGGAAAATTTTAATAGTCATTTAATTTTTGACTATTAAGTAAGTTAATTATTTATTATGAAGACACTAAAACCAGAACAAAATTTATTTCTTATGTTAAAGTTGTTCATATATTTTTATATTAAATTTGAATAAAATTTAATAAAAAATTATATGATACAACTATATGTAATAAAAAACTATATAAAACAGCAAAAAAAATTTTTGTTGCATTTTTTATACCAAGTCATTTTTGTTAATAGCTATTAAAAATTATAAAATTAATGAATAATTGAAATTGCAACTTCCTTTTAACTAGTGGTGTATGCCATCGTGCCTTAAGGCAAATTGCTGGAACTTCCCATACCGTAATGAAATATTCGAGAAATTTTAAACGTTTTCAAATATATTATTACAAAAATGCTGTAACTTTCATTATTTTTGCTATCTTGTCATGTCTGAGCAATTCAAATGTAAATTATAAATCAATTTATCTCCAGAACATTAACAATCGTCATTTCATTTCGAATTCAATTTCAAAAAAAAAAAAAAATAGTTTTATTTACACAAAATTGAAAAAGTGCTCCCGAATAGTCACAGCATTTGCAAATAATTCTGTGCGACATTTTTACTTATACTGTGCTTAGCTTGGCGGCTTTTTCACATTTTTCAATAGTTTTATCAAAAAATTGGAAAAGTGCTCCAGTACATAAACAGTCTAAACGCACTTGGGTAAACATTTGTACCAGAGTGGCGCTTAGACTGTGCTTAGCCTGGGTGATTTTTTGAATTTTCAATCCAAAATTACAAAAATATTTTATTGAAATTAAAAAAAGATGTAACAACTTTTTATCCCCAAAAACAATAGTTTTGTCAAGACAACCAAAAAGTTTTTTGAATCATTCAAATCGGGTGCTCCGTTCTCTCAAAAACTGCCATTTTTGCACATTATCGTATGACGTATCTCCGAAATGGCTGGGCCTGCTTTTGCCAAAAACTAACCACCAGTTTTTTTCAATCATTACGAATTGACTGTTTTTTGAATCATTCAAATCGGATGCTTCGTTCTCTCAAAAACTCTATTTGTATTTTCTTCACTCTTTGCTCCGTATTTCCGTAACGGCTAGACCTGCCTTTGCCAAAAACTAATCAGCACATCTTCCTATCAATAGGAATCGAGTGTTTTTTGAATCATTCTAATCGGTTGATTTGTGCGCCCGAAATCTTCGAAAATTGTATCCACAGTTACACCGACACACTTACCCATTTTTCTAAGGTTCAGAAACTTCTAAAACGTGAAGATATGCAAAAATTTTCATTTTCGATTTTTTTGCAATTACTATATAATACCTTACAATACGTTGAAAATAATTCAATTTATTACAATTTTAGAATGAATTTTAATTTATAATTTTAATTTTGAAGTGAAGTATTTGAAATTATACAACTTCATATTCAAAAATTGATACTATTAAATTATTTAGTAATTATTTTTTGAGAATAAATTTTATATTTTTTTCAAAAATCCTGTTTTATGTGTAATTAAATATTTTAAACAATTTAACTACATGTGTGAAACTGGTGTCATCAAATTTAATTTTGATAAAAAATAAATTGAAAAATTATACTCGATTTATTTTTGTAAATTTTCTTTCATACATTTTTGAATAATTTTACTACATTTTTAAATTAAATTTTTTTAGAGTCGTTATTAATAAAAATAATTGATAATTGGCAAACAATATAATTTTTGTATTAATAGTTGAAACACAATTTTAGTAAAAATATTTTAAATTATATTTTAGCAAGCTAAAATATATACAACTTTTCTTTTACAAAGTTTTATCCTAGAGTTCATCTTGATTAAGTAGTTTTCTCAGAACTTCCAGGACACTCTTTTAAAATTAATGACTAAAATCCTATCCAATTTATCCTGCGAAATTTTATAATGCAATCTTGCATTATTAATGAATCGAAATGCATTTTAAAACTTGCTACTGAGAAAACTTATATGAAAAATAATTTATGTATAACAAATGATATAAGAACATGATTGACATATAAAAATAAATGATACAAAAAAAATAATATAAAAGGTGTGAAAATGAATAATAATATAGAGATATTATATATGTAAATCTGATATTAGGACATGACATGAATAAAAAATTAAAATATATATATATATATATATATATATATATATATATCAATAAAAATTTATGAGCAAAGCTAATTCTGAAATGTGCATAGACCAAAGTAAAATTGCTACCTGTTTTATTAATTTTAAATAATATATTTTCCAATTATACAATTTATTAACTCTAATATTTTATTTCAGATAATGACTACAAAATTGCAGTTTCTTAAGAAGAAATATTTTCTATACTAAAAATAGAACAAATAAAATAAAATCAAGAGACTTGAAATGAAGAAAATTCCTGGAGCAACTTGGAGATAACAATTTATGTTCATTTATATCTGAACATTAGAGTTTTAAGATGAAAAATTGTGAAATTTATTTCAAAAGTGTAATTTTAAACATTTTATTATGTGTTGCAAGTGTTTTTGATTTTATTGAATATTTGCAAGTTGTGTAAAACAACATTTTTATGTGTGATGTTGTGAAAATACCTGAAAATATGGCTGACATTGAAAGGATAAGACTGGTGAGTAAAATGACAAAAATGTTAATAATTAAAAATTTTGGGAGAATACTTATTGATTTTAGTATTTATTATTAATATATAGGTATCAAAGTATATTTCACCAGATTTACAACATTCTAGTATAAACAGTGCATTTTTGAAAAATTATCTAACAGTAAGTTGCATTTTTGTTACTTAAACGTTTACATGTACTTTTTTTTAAATTGTCGTTAATAATTCAAAATTTTGAAAAAAAACTTATAGATTTTATCACAAATTATGAAAATGTGGATTTCAAAGTATGTTATGTTAATTTTACAAAATTTTACTACTCAGAGTGCATTTTTGAAAATTAATTGAATAACAAGTTGATTTTTAGTACTCGTTAACTAAACGTGTACTTTGTTCAGATTTGTGTTAATAATTTAAAAGTTTCCAAAGAAACTGATGGATTTTTGCAATAAATATAAAAATATGTATATCAACGTATACTATACCTAATTTACAACATTCTATGGGCAATAGTGCAATTTTAAAAAATAGTCTAACTATAAACGGTATTTTTAGTACTTGTAAACGTTTACGTGTACTTCGCTCGGTTTTGTGTTAATAATTCAAAATTTTTAGAAGAAAACTTATAGATTTTAGTATTTGCAATAAAAATATGGATATCAAAGTATACTATACTTGATTTACAACATTCTAGTTGTAACAGTGCATTTTTGAAAATTCGTCAAACACCAAACTGTATTTTTAGTACTTATGGAATTTTACGTGTACTTTGTTCGGATTTGTATTAATAATTCAAAAATTTCGGAGAAAACTTATGGATTTTTGTATCAAAAATTAAAATATAGATATTGAAGTATAATATACTGGATTTTCAAGATTTTATGGGCAATAGTGTATTTTGAAAAATTAGTCAAACACCAAACTTTAATTTTTAGTACTTGTGAACCTTTTTTTTAATTTGTGTTAGTAATTCAAAAATTTTGGGAAAAATGTATGGATTTTAGTATTTTTAATTTAAATATACATATCGAAGTATGTTATACTTGATTAACAATATTCTAGTATCAACCGTAATATTTTAAAAATTAATTAATTTTTTAAGCATTTTAGCACTTGTAATTAGTCAAACATCAAACTTTATTTTAATTACACGTGAACCTATGTGTACTTTGTTCAAATTGTGGTTAATATTTTCAAAGTTTGTGAGAAACCTTATTGATTTTAGTATTTAAAATTAAAATATGTATATCATAGTATACTATACTCAATTTACAACATTCTGCTGTCAACAGTGTATTTTTAAAAATTAATCAAACAACAGAATGTATTTTTAGTACTTGTGCACGTTTACGTGTACTTTGTTCATATTGTGGTTAATAACTCAAAAGTTTGTTAAAAAACTTATAGATTTTTGTATTAAAAATCAAAATATGTATATCAAAGTATATTATTCTAAAATAACAACTCTCTAGTATCTACAATACATTTTAAAAAGAATTCAAACAAATCATATTTGACTACGAGCTCAAACAAAAACCATTTTAGTATATTATTTTATTCGTTAAATTATTTTATTTGTTTTACATTTTTGTTTATTTTTTATATGTTTAGCAAAAATATATTTTTCTCTAATAATGATGTATACAAGTATTATATTTCATTTGTTCAGAAAGAGGATTACTAGTTTTCCCTCGAGTTTCCCTCGAGTTTCCCTAGAAAGAAAATTGATCTCACGGGGATGTTCATTACTTGATATTTTGTAAACAAGATGCCTTTTCTTCGAGAATGTTTTGTAGAAATGCGAAATTAACAAGATATTCAGAATAAAACTATCTTGAGATTATTGTGAATGTACTGTCTTGTTTCAAATTAATTAATAGAAAATAATTTTGTAGTAAAATGTGATCCGCTTCTAGAATGTTAGAAACTTACTACATTATTATGAGAACTCTTGGGAATGTTTTTTTATTAGAAAACACGGTAAAGTTATTAAATTATTATAAAATCATGGGCTTGCTATAAATTATAATAAATAATATTTGACTATGCTAATCACATTATATTTTGATCCCAAATTAATATATTTATCACTTCCCTATTGAATTAATTAATACAAAATATGAAAGTTTAATTAAACCTGGAGTGACCTTTTTGGAAAGTTTCATTTGCCCATCGATATATTAATTTCTAATGATGTTTTTTCATAATACTATACAGAAGAAAATATTTATTAATATTAGGTATATATATTTAGTTAATTTTCGATAATTAGAAAGTAAAAACCTTGAAATTGTCTATAAATTTGCCGTGCGATCAGGCGTATTTTACATATATACAAAGCAAGGAAGATGCATTATCGAACATTCCCCTTACCTTGTTTATATGTAAAATATGCCTGATCGCACAGCAAATAGAAAGACATTTTTACTATTTTCACTATTAATAAAGATGCATAAGATAGCGTTGCCATGACGATGAAAAGAATTATAAAAAATAATTTATGACTATAGCTACAAACTTCTGTAATATTTTTAATACATTTGTATGTGTTACAATTTACTAGGGTGAAATATTTAAAGTAGAAGCATTTTATCTAATTTTTTCTAAAGACAAATGCTTCTACTATAAATGATTTGTCATGTTTGCATTTTTTTTATTTTCCTAGATATTTGTTCTAATTAATTTTCAAATTTTTCAGGTTATACTCGGTGGAGCAGGAGTGGGTAAAAGTTGCATCGTAAAAAGGTTTCTTATGAATACATACTCCGATAAATATCGGAGTACTGTGGAGGATCTTTATAATAGAGAATATGATCTTGGACAAGTCACTTTGAAGGTAAATATATAAAATTATACATTTAAATATTAGGGTGGTCCTTGATAATTACTAATTATCAATTACTGATCACTAATTTCGAATTTCTTTGCTCCCAGGGTCTCAAATGCTTCCAAATAGATGAAACAAAATTTTGTGAAAGTTTCAGCTCTTAGTATTAACTTTTAGATAGTCCGCAATTCAATTAATATTTAGTTTATTAATATTATCAAGTAAATTCTTGCGCCATCTCTTATAGCATTTATTAAATTGAATCATACGTCCTATTATCACTAATAATTTGAGTTTCAACACAAATCATCATTATCAGGATGTCAGTGAGTGGTCCTTAATATGGATATTTTTAAATTTCTTTGCTCCCAGGGTCTCAAATGCTTTCAAATTGATAAAAGAAATCTCAATGAAAGTTTTAGTTCCTAATATTAACTTTTAGATAGTCCGCAATTCAATTAAAGTTTTGTATATTTACTAATATTATCTAGTGTCACTAAGTAAATTCAGGCGTCATCTCTGATATCATTTGTAAACTCAAATAATGCGGCAATTTATATTTTATAATTTGAGTGTCAAAATCATCAAGATTAAAAATAAATAAAAACAAAAATGATAAAACTAAACTAAGTACCAAAAGTTGAAATGAATAGGGATATTCTTGACCATTAACAAATATAACATTTTTAAGCCTACACTCCAAAACAAACAAATATGTTTTTGTCAAAATTTTCAATCAAAAGTATATATATATATATATATATATATATATATATATATATTGTAGTTTAATATATATATTGTAGTTTAATATACATTTGATACACAAACTACACTGCTTTGTAACCTTGATCGGTGTCCACAATGCACCGCTATCAATAACATTAAATATAGGAGGGCAATATGTGCTCCTTCAATATCTCCTTTGTTAATAAAATAGCATATTATTATTTTACACAAATTTAGTGTTCAATCAATTTTACATCATAATTAATTTTTTCTGTTGTTTTTCCTGGTTTGATATGTATAATTTTCTCCTTTTTTATATATTCATATTTATCATCAACTTTGTATTTATGTAATATGTTTTTTAGATTACTGAATGATGACATACATCAAGTGTCGAAACGTTTAATGGAATAAATAATTTTGTTATTTAATCTTTTTTTAATTCGACGATTAGGCTGCAAAAACATTACAAATATGTATCAACGTCGATAAACTATCATATATATATATATATATATATATATATATATATATATATAACAAATGTATTTTGAGTGGATAATAGATATTAATTTGGAAATATGAACAAACAACACTCTTTTTGCACTAACTTATTAAATAATAATAATTTTCACAAACGTTTCGAGACTAGGTTTGTCTTATCATCAGTGTATTATAATTTAAAATTTAAAATATGGAAACCTAAATTAGCATTTTGTGTTATCCATTACAAGTCGCTCGATACACTGTCCTCTGCCACACCAATGGTCGTCGGTGTCCGCATTCTCTAACCACTACCAATTTTCCAATCAGTGCAAAAAAGAGTGTTGTTTGTTCATATTTCCAAATTAATATATATATATATATATATATACATATATATATATATATATATATATATATATATATACATATATATCCTTTATCTAGGTTGATATCCTGGACACAGCAGGAGACCAGCAATTTCCAGCAATGCGTCGACTGAGTATAGCAACTGCTCACGCCTTCATTCTAGTCTATGCGGCGACATCAGCTCCATCTTTTGCCTGCGTAAAGCAGTGTTTTGAAGAACTAAGAGAGCAGAGAGCCGACTATCAGGTAATAATAATAACATAATAATAAAAACATACCTGTTAGGCTATTCTCGGTTCGATGAGGTTACGTCATTTATCATCTTTTATCATTAAAACAAAAAAATTCCAATGATATCATAGATAGCCATTTGCAAACGCTAATATTATTAATATTATTATTATTATATTATCTTATTATTTATAATATTGTTTTTATTGTTATATTTATAATTTTTTGTCATTTAATGTTTATATTCCACTTTATTGTTTTTTTAGTATTATTTATATTATTCACAAATTTTATTTATTTTATTTATTAATTTTATTATTAACATTATTTGCTTTTATTTTATATTAAATCATTAATGAAAATACTATCCTTTATTTTGTACTCTATTTTATTTATATTTGTGTTATTATTTTTTTACGTTACTAGATGTTATATAATTTAGCAGTAATGGTAATTTAAAAAAAATATAACTTAAGTGTCGTTTGTGGCAACTTTTCGGGCATACTAGGAAGCACTGTAATATTGTCGGTACTGATTGAGTTGTAGTTTTAAATAAATAATGCGTGAAGAAGAATTGATATTATGTTGATATAGTAGCAAAAATGTATAAATATTACAGGTGCAATTTTTTGACAGTTTCCTGACTATATTCACATTAAGAAAACATGATTTGTGAAAATAAAATAGGTGCACCAAGAAATTCAACATACTTTTATTTGCAGAGCCGACTATTAGGTAATATAATAATGAAAACATACCTGATAGGCTATTCTTGGTTCGGCAATGTTACGACACTTATTTTCTTTTAAGTGTCATTTGTGGCAAATTTTTGGGCATACTAGGGGGCACTGTAAAACTGTAGGTACTGTTTGAGCTGGAGTTTTAAATAAATAATGACGAAAATGAACTAATATTATTTTGACATGTGGAGGTCAGTTTACAGACATGTGTAAATAACATGGGTCGAGCTTTTTGACAGTTTTGTGATTATAGACACATCAAGAAAACATGATTTATCAACATAAAATAAGTACACCGTGAATGCCAAATCTTCAGCGTATTCTTATTTGAATCATGTTAATATGCTACCGTAGTATGTCCAAAAATAGGAATATAAATGATCCCATAGCAAATTCTATTCGAATTATAAAAGATGTCACAAATCAGGGATATTTATTTAAAAAAGACAAATTTTAGGTGAGGGTAACATAAAACAAGTTTACGATAAAAGATATAACATATTGTAAAAAAATACAGTGTGATTTACTTATAATTTAATTACTTTATTTTATATCTATATGTATACAAAAATAATGTATCTTTTCTCTAAACCGTCCTTCAATCATTAAGCATTTTCTTGAAGAAGTGCAGATTTTTCGAAGGAAATTATTTTAAAACCGAATGTTATAAGGAGTTGCTAAAACTCTAAAACGGACCTATCTAATAAAATGTGTTATATATATATATATATATATATATATATATATAAATAAATAAATATATATATATATATATATATATATATATATATATATATATATATGATTTTTTATATATGTTTCAGGAAGTGCCAATAGTAATTGCTGGGAACAAATTAGATTTAGCTCCAACTCATAGAGAAGTCCGAATAGAAGATGTCAGTGAATGGGTATATTGCGAATTACCCAGGCTGAGGTATTTATATTCATATAAAATTTTATCTAAAAAAGAGTAAAACATACCCATATCAAATAATAAAAATAATAAAAATTTCATGAAAAAATATGTTTACTATATAATTAATAACTTGTAAGAACACGTAACAAATTCTAAAATATAATTGTTTGAAATTATTAATGATACATTTCTAAAATTCTAAAATGATATTTATGAACCGATTCAGCCGCATAACAGATCAATGTTATGGCAAGGCTATGTTATGAAGAGCTTTCCATACTTAATTTGACAAAAGCCACGCGGTTGCCGTGCAGTCAGGCGTATTTCTCAAGTTGTCAGATAGAAAACTTCACCTAGAAACCGCACAAATGTCAAACAAACGATGTTAGGTAACAGTGTGTTTCTGATTCTGCTTCATAACATACGAGTGACGTTGCAGTTTATGTGTAAAACGCCTGAATGCACAGGAAATACACGACAAAAATATAATTATTTTACTTATTGATAAAAAGACTAGAAAATTTTCAGACAAGAAATTAAAAACATTGAATTTTTTTTCCTTCTAGATCTAAATGCTATGATTCTATAAAGAGGCTCAAAACTAAAAAAAATCTTTGATACATTTTTAACTAAATTATCTAATAAAATTCAAATGTTCTAAAATTCTATTAAAGTACCATTGTCTATGTAAATATTTTTTTGTTATCGTGGCTATTAACGTGTTAAAGTACCATTTAAGAAATTTATATTAACAAGAAATATCATGCAATAATTTTGTTTGATAAGAATAGTTAAAGGTCAAGAAATTAAAAAAATACTTTTAAAAATATTATATAAATTCAATAGAAAATTATTGCAAAGGTGCCCCAAAAAGTACTAAAACTAAAGGTCCTTTTTATATTTGTTTAAAAAATTTGAAGCTTAATTACTAGAAGTTGACAGTATTCAGTACAATTCAGTAGCATAATGTATTACTAACTGACCATTCATCCCCTGCATTTGATTTATTCTATTTACCCAACATAATTACAAACCCTTTTCAGGGCGAAAGTGCTCGAGTGTTCTGCAAAGGACGATTACAATATCAAGGAGATCTTCAGGACATTACTTACACTGAGTAGAATCCTTCCAAAGGGCGACGAGGACTCTAGTACTGGGCTGAAGAGGCGATCGAGTGCCTACGTCAGTGCCACGTCTAAAGGTAAAGGATAAAAGATTTTCCGGATTCACCGGAAAAAATAATCCGGTGGAGCGATTATTTTTTTATTTTCCATAAAATATTTTTGTAATTTTGGATTAAAAATTAAAAAAATCACCCAGGCTAAGCACAGTCTAAGCTCCACTCTGGTACAAATGTTTACCCAAGTGCGTTTAGACTGTTTATGTACTGGAGCACTTTTCCAATTTTGTGAGAAAACTATTGAAAAATGTGAAAATGTCGCCAAGCTAAGCACAGTATAAATGAAAATGTCGCACGGAATTATTTGCAAATGCGTTTAGACTGTGACTATACGGGAGCACTTTTTCAATTTTGTGCAAATTAGGCAACTATTTTTTTTTAAATTGAATTCGAAATGAAATGACGATTGTTATTAGATGATAGGAGATAAATTGATTTATGATTTACATTTGATTTGCTCAGATATAACAAGATGGCAAAAATAATGAAAGCTACAGTATTTATAATAATATATTTGAAAACGTTTAAAATTTCTCGAATATTTCATTACGGTACGGGATGTTCCAGCACTTTGTCCTACTACGCCACTAGTTTTGTTATATAACCGATTCATTTATTTTTATTTCTTTCATTTTGATTATGTTGTCATATTTTTGCAATGTTTATTCTTCCATAATTTTATGTAAATCTGAGAATAGGTAACAATCTATTTTTTATACCCCTAAGTGATAAGGATTGTTCACTCTTAAATATTTTTTTGGAAATTTTAGACTAATTTTTAGTTTTTATTTTTTTATAATGTGGCTTTAAAAAATACATACAACCCTTAATTTTTACTTTTATATCACCAACCCCTATTTTTTATAGCCGTTTTAGCAATTCAATCATTTTTTATCCCCTTGAATATTTTTGACATAATTTTTGTTCAGATTATAGAGCTTGAAGAAAGAGCTTAAATTTTACTTTAAAATACAGTTTATAATTTTCAAGGGTTGTTCAATTGTAATACTTTTTTTTTTAATTATGTGGTCAACTTTGTTTTATTTTGAACTTTGTGAATGCGGAATTGACAAAATATAAACAACTCTGTTTACTTCAAAATAGTATTTATTTTTATCAAGGGTTGTCCATCCCTAATTTTTTTTTTAATTTTTTCATTTTTCTTTATTTTTTTAGTGTGGTATTGAAAAATACTTGGAACTTCTTTTACTTTAAAAAAACGTTTATTTTTTTAATATTTTTTAAATTTTGGAATATCAGTTATTTTCGTACTAAACATTTTATACTAGAAATATTTTTTATGGCAAAACAGCATTTGTCAGGCCTGCTAGTATATATATATATATATATATATATATATATATATATATATATTATATAAAATTCTTTTGTAATGATAAACGAAAGAATACTCCTAAACGATTATTCGGATTTCGATAAATCTTTCTGAAGTTTGTTAAGAAATTTTTTTTAGGATTGTTTTAATTATAAAAATGTAGTTCGATGGGAAAAATTTGACATTGAATATATTTGAGTTGTTCGGCATTAAAAACAAATGAAGACTGTAATCTGCCAAATATTTAAATTCACTTATAAGCTAAGACAATATTAAAATATAATATATTCATGACTATGAATAAGAAAAATGTAATTTCTACATTATTATTACCGAAAAGCAGCTGAGATGTGCCAGAAATTAAAATAATATAAAATACAGTATATGGTTTGGCAGATGAACAGTTTGCGCACGCGTCTGACGTACACTATGTAATCCAGTTTCACAGATTATTATTTTTTAACTAATCCAGTCGTATTTTGCCTTACTTTACTAAATCACAATACAAAAAAAAAATTACTTATAAAAAATTATTTAAAATTGGGTCTAAATTTTTTTTACTGTGCTCCAATTTGCATGAAATTTTGGAATTAGGTTCATGTTACTCTTAAGTTTAAAAGTGAAAATAATTTAGACTTTTTTGCCACTTTCTGGGGGGATAACATCCTTTCTTAGTGGTGTATTTTCATGTTTTTCAAAATATCGTCGGAATTCTATGAAAGAACTGCGATCAGGCGAACTTATTATAAGAAAAAAATATTTCATTTTTTTTTTAAAAAAGCAAATACTTGTCAAGGTACTGGCTACTGAAAATTTGTTTCTTTTCGGCGTTTTTCATCGTTTTTTTGCCAATATCTCTTAAAATATACATTTTAACGAAAGTCATGCTACAGTACAACGTCTGCCGGGTCTATATATATATATATATATATATATATATATATATATATACATATATATCAATTATCTTTTACCAGGTAAATCCCGAGCCTCCTCCGGCAGTCCGGCGTCTCTGACGTCGACAGCCGGAGCTTTGCCCGAAGGCACAGCCACGACGACCACCGGAGTTTCCTCCGGAGGTACGGAACCCCCGAATTCCAACAGACCAAAACAACGTTCCAGAAGTCTCATCAGAAGATCTTCGAGGAAAACTAAACAACAAATTAGGGATGCACCAGGGAGCGAAGATTGCAATGTGCAATGATCGGGAAAAATAATAATTTTATAAATACAGATCGTAGTAATAATAAATTTAAGTATTTAAGTACTTAAGAATAAATATTTAATAAAAATAAAGGAGGCAATTTTGTCTCGTAACATAGCGTTGTCATGGCAACTGGGAGAATGTCTTTCCATTTGCCGTGCGATCAGGCGTATTTTACATATAAACAAGCAAGGAAGAATGTTAGGATAACTGCATGGTAATAAAAAATGCTTCCTTTAAAATTCCTCAGTTTATTTTAGATGTTACTTGTTTCACGGTTCAGCAAAAAGAGAGCTATTTTACATAGTTTTAACATAAACATAAATATAAGATGGCGAATATATTAGGTTGTCAAATATCTCCCTTCCGCTTTTTTGCTCTGGGTTTATAATACAAAAAGGCGGAAGGGAGATATTTGACAATTAATTATCGTAGGAGAACACTATTGCCAACATCACTAATAGTAATGGCGGGACATTTGAATTACAATATAAAACATTACACAAAAATAAGTCAAATAATTATGTCCACTGCACTATCTTTTTTTTAATTGCATTATATGTTACAGCTGCTGAATATTTTAACATCTAGTAACAATTATGAACAATGACATAAATTTTCATAAAAAAGAGGACAAAGGATAGTATTTTCATTGAAATGATATCCGTAGTATGATTTAATATAAAAAATAAAAGCAAAAATTAATAAATAAAATAAATAAAATTTCTGATTAATAAAAATTATACTAGAAAAGCACTATCTGGAATTCTGTTATCGTAATATTCTTCCTTGCTTGTTTATATGTAAAATACGCCTGATCACACATCGAATAGACAGACATTTTCACAGTTTTACTAAGAAGCATAAGATAGCAAAAAATGAAAAATAAATTATCAGAAACTATCTTAAGACAAAAGAAAATTATTCTCCAACTCTGAATGCAATTTGACTTTCTCAAAATTGTCAAAATAAAAACATATTTGATTTTGTTGCTGATGGAGTTTGAAAATTTATTTTCATAACTCTCAAATAATTATTAAAATGCAAATATTATATATATATATATATATATAATATAATATATATATATATATATATATATATATAATATATAATATATATATATATATATATATATATATATATATATATATATTTCAGCTAAATAGTAGTCAAATGTGCCAAGTAATGGAAATTGAAAAAAAATTATATATAATACACATAAGAACCAGGCGCATTATTACTAAAGTTAGTTCTGAAAATTATTACAAGTTGTGTTCAAAATTTAACAGAAAATCATAAGTACGTCGTATCGTAATATAACTAATATTTGCATTAATTTAAAATTATACCTTCTACATTATATTGAATTATAAAAATAATAAATTATTAAAATTAGTATTCACAAAACTATTGACCATACTAATTGACTATTGACCCACTAATGACTATTAACCCAGTTTTTTATACAATTTTTAGGTGCAAGTTTGTGAAGATTTTATTATTATTTTTCCACATATGTATTTTGATTAATTTGATACAGAAAATTTAATCGTCAAGTTTTTCTAATACTGTTAAAAAAGGGAAATTTTACCAATTGTTTGGTTTCTGTAGAGTTACCAAAATAAGTAAGTCATTTTTGTTTTTAATTTTGGTGATGGGTTACTAACCAACAATTCTTAAAATATTTAAAACCAAACACAACTTTAAATTATACTATCTACACTATATTATTATTTTTTTTATTATTATCAACAAAATCATTTATGACTATTAACACAATTTTCTTATATTATTTTTATACAATTTTTAGGTGCAGTTTTGTGAAGATGCAATTATTTCGGAATGCATTTAATTTAACTTGGCAAAAGAGCTTCTGTTCTAATAAATTTAAAAATATTGGAAAAATTTATTATTTAATTGGCGTGTGTAGGAGATTATTACCAAAATAAGTAAGTCATTTTTTTAAATTTTGGTGGAGGGTTACTAACTATATGTATTTAACTTTGATTGATTTGAAAATTAATTTCATAATTTAGTAATATTGCAATTTTACTCTTAAACATGTACATAAAATTGATCGTTACAAAGTTCGGAATTATTTTTGAAAAAGTTCAGTTTCTCATAATTCAGAAATGTTGCATTTTTATTTTTAGTTCCTTCAAAATTTATTTTTACAAAAAATCTAATTATTATTAAAATGATTTCTAATTGTTAAAAATCATAATTCTCGGTACTAAGAAACATTGTAATATTTTTTATAAAAATTCATGCTTTGAATTATTATTATTAAATTATTGCCACAATTTAAAAAAAACTCATTATTTAAAAGCACCAAATTTTTTAGCAATACTTTTGAAAATTTGTTTTTACTCCAATTTACATTTTAAATTATATTAAATTATTTAAAATTCTCATTATATAGAAATATTATAATTTTTTTTCTGTAAGAATTTCTCCTTACAAACTCAAAAGTTACCTTTGAAAATATTCTCAACAATTAAAAAAACATTTTTTTACTTAAAAGCACCAATTTTTTTAACAATATTTTTGAAAATTCATCCTTGCCAAACTAAAACATTTCTTGAGAAAAAAAGTTTTTTGGGTTTAAAATTAAGCATTTACAATTTATCCATTGCTTTAAAAAAATTACTAATTCTTAAAAACTAATACAATAATTATATTGTAAGAAATTCATTAAAAAAGTTCTTTAGGCAGGTTATGATTATTCAAAAAAATATCTGCTGTTAACAAAATTATAAAGTAAAAATAGCAGAAAAAAAAGTTTTTATGGACAAAATTATAAAAAAGATTTCATCAAATTAATTGCAAATAAACTGAACTATATTCTAAAAAAAATTGAAAGAAAAATGTTGTGAACATTGTGTCAATAAATAAATATGTTATAAATTATTCAAAACAATTTTTAATTATTTATAAAAATATTCTACACTTAAAAACTTGCAATTTTTGTGAACAAAATTAAAAATAACACTTTTTCCATAAACGTGACATTCATTTTGAATAAAAGTCTTCTGATTTTTTAAAATAATTTCTCGCGATTTTTGAAGTTTTAAAATATATTACGACTTATTTTAGCAATTTTCTAAATGCCAAAAAGTTAAAAATTATACCTACAGTTTTTAATCAATTTGATCTATGATAAAACATTTGTTAAATTAAAATACAAATTATATGATTGCATTTACAATTGCAAAATATTTAAAAAACATGACTTGGCGCAGACAAAAATACAACAAGTTTGGACAAAACAAAAATGTAAATATACACTAAAAATACACAAAGTAATAAAACTATATATATTTCCAAACAAATAAAAATAATATTTATCAATCCATTAATTTTTCGGTGTATTTGTTAATAATTGGCTGTTAGGCTTTGCGATGGCGTTGAAAAATTGTTGTTTCATTGTTGAATATAATAATATTAATGTTGAATAAATATAAATATTATATAATTACTAAATATAAATATTAATTATGTAATAAAACGTACATACATATTCTAGTCGTAAAAATAAAATTATTATAAGTATCTATTTAATATAATAAGTGTGGTTTCGAACAAGGTTTCCCAAATGTTTTGCAAACTGTAATATATTTGAAATTATAATTTTTATGTGTGAAAGAATAAATGTTGAATGAAATTTGTTTATTTTATTAGCACCGAAAAAAATAATTTGTATAAAATTTAGCTTGAAGTTTAATTTTTTATTATATTATTTACGAGTTCTGATTTTTTTCTCGTATATTTTTGTATTTTTGAAAGAAATTTTTGTTTGATATTATATATTACAAATTTTGTTTTGTTTTGAGATTGTATACTTATCACTTGCTTAATTCGTCTTTTAAAAATATAATGTGAATACTACAAGAATTATCATTCATAATAAATATTATTAGTACATTTTTACATTTTTACATTACATTTTTAAGTTTTTTATTCTGTTTTGTCAATTTTTTAATAAAATTCATTTCAGATTCTTGAATTTCTGAATTATTTTTTAAATTATATTACGTCCAGAAGTAACAAAAAATTTCATTTTGTTTATTCCTGTTTATTTTCGAAAAAACAGCTGCTTTTTTTCAATTGTGAATTACTATATTCCAATACTTATTAATTTTTTTTGCAGTATAAAAATCAGTTATTACTCCAATCTTATTATTTATTCTAACTAGTTTTTAAAAAAAAAATATAAAAATTTCATTAAGGCCAGAAATAGTGATTTTCTCTGGGACAAATTGAAAACTAAACAATTTTCATAAAGCTTCATTTTTTAAATATTTTTTTTTGTAGTTATACAATTTATTTTTAAAGAAATGTGAATACAATTTATTTACAATTTATTTAACAATTTTAAATCCTAATTTATTGCCAATATTCCAATATAAATAATAAGTCCGAATTATAAATAAAATTAATTTGTATGAAAGATCAAATTAATTGTGTGAATGTATTACGTAATAAAAATTTAATTAATTATATGAAATATAAAAAGTGTTTCATACAAGAGTTCAAAATTGCTGAAAATAATGTTTAAATTATATATTGTTATATAGGGTATGCCATCTAACATTTTTCATTTTCATTATTTTTTCAAAGGTCGGCCGAGGCTTTTTTCATTTTTGACTGAAATTATTATAATCATTATTAACTAAATTAATTTCATTATTAACTGAAAGGATTGTACTTTCAAATAAAAAAAGAAATTTGAGAAAATATACTAAATATAAAAGTTTTCCAAAAAAAAAATATTTGGCGGACCCTATATACATTTTTACCATTTTTCTTTTTTTAAATATTATTTTTTAAATTTATTTAATTTATTTCCATTTAATTCATAACTAAAATTGAGGCAAAAATAAAAAAAATAAATCGTCTTATATTTTTCAATAACATCAAAAATTTAGTTTTTAGATCACAATTTATTTAAATTTAAACGATGTATAATTTTTTTCCATTTAGTATTTATTTTATTAAAAATATTTTTAAACTATTTTTATAATTATAAATTTTCATTATTCATTTTTAGTTATATAAATCATATTTTTTTTAATTTTATAAAATTTAGTAAATTTAGTCTGTTATAATTAGGAAATTATGTAAAATCAAAGCAAAAATTAGAAATATTATTAGTATTTTTGGTAATACAGAATATTTTATTTTATTTTAATTTCATAAATACTTCTCTTTTGTTTTCTCTTATTTTTAATAATCACAAAATTTATAACTTCTTATACAATTATATGAGGCAGTCACTTTTTTTTACAATAGGGGTCCAACCCAGTTTGCTTTTCATTTCATAACATTTATGTTATTTTTTCAATTTCTTCAATAAATTTGTTAGTAAATTGTTTACAAATTTGATATAATTTTTTACCGTCGTTTTTTAGCAATTTCGAACTCTTTTCAATAAAATTTAAGGTTTGTGATTGTTCCTTAATAAGAAATAATTTAAAATCCTGTCGTTTTGTTGTTTTTTGTGTAAATAAATTTTGGAGCAAAATAAATAGAACATTATATGTGATATTTATTCAGTAGATACAAATTTTGATGAAGGATCATCTTTTTAAGGAGTCCTTTTTCAATATTTGGAAAATTGTATATTATGAATTATTAAACTGTTTAATATATAATAGATATCATAGAATTAAGAATATTAATAATTAGGAGAGTAATAATTGTTAATATTTGTATTGAAATTGTTTCCCATTTTTTTAAATAAACTTTATTGTTTTTTTGATTCGTACTTGACATAAAAATTAGTATTAATTTGAATATATCAATATTTCAGATTTTTTTTCAAGAAAAATATTCAAGAAAAAGTCAATTTTCATTTTGTTTTAATTCTACTTTTTGGTAAAATATAAATTTATCTCTATTTTTTCTCATTTTTTTTTCAATTCATAAAAGTGTATATAAAAAATGCTATCAAAAAGCATTTTGAGGCAATTTATGATAAAATTAAAAAACTTTATCGCCAAAAAGTCGATGACCAAATTTTACAAACATATTTTAACCTTCAAAATAAATAATTCAGAATAGTTTTAAATTTATAAAATATATCTTAATATATTTAAGTAATTGTCTCTAATTTTAATAATAATCTTACTTTTATATGTATAAAAAAAATTCAAAAATTCGAGTAACAGGTGTATATCTAAATTTCTATTTAAACGAATAAATATTTATTAATAATATATTATGTAATAATAATTATATCAAATAATTTACGATTAAGAATTTTGATATTTGATATGATAATTTTTCAAAGAATAAGCTGTTTGGAAAAAATAGATCGATATTATAAATATATTTAAAAATAACATTAATTCATATATTTAATAGAAAACATTGTCGTTGCTTGAATAAGTTTAATTGTTTAAACAATTTTGGTATTAAAAAAATAACTTGTTAATATATCTGAATATTCAAAACCTATTTAAAGTCCTGAAAATGAAAATTTAAGAAAATTTGCTCAATATAAATATTTTAAAATCGAAAAATAATTTGGAGTTATTTTGTGGAACTATTCCAAAAATTTCATAAAACAATTATTGTTTGATTTTTTACTAAAAAGCAACTTTGTACTATAAAATATGAACATTATTTATACAAATTTTGCAATAATAATTCAGGGTAGTAATTTATACATAAAAAAGCAAATTATCAAATAAGCATATTTTCAAAAGTTAAAAAAAATTATCTCCTAAATTAAATTCAGTATTGAATTACATTATCATTTACTAATTTAGCATTTAAATAATTTTCTATATTTTTAATTGAGCAAATATTCTTATTTTTTCCTTTATCTCTGTAAAATATGTACCAAAGTCCATATAAATATAAAAGTGTGATTTGTTCATAATATTATATAAATCTTGTGAATATTGCACATATGTATTACATACACTAACTAAAGTATATTTTAATGTATGACTAAAATTAAAAAAAGTAACTTAACTGTAAACACCATGATATCTGTTTTATGGAGGAAATTTAATGGATAATATAGTATTTTATTAAGCCAAAAGGAGTTTGAAATTTTCATTATAAAGATGATTAATTTTGAATTATTAGAAAACTTTTTTTTGTTTATACTATTTTTTTAAGTTATTTTCACGTCACTTCGGGGTCACCAATCATGAGCTGTTGTATTGTCCATATAAATCAAATACTTCGATTCGATTTTTAAATCTAATGAAAATTTATTCTGACAGAAAATATGTCTGATAACTTTTTATTTTTAATTTATTTAAATCATCTAATATAATTATTTTCAATATACTCTGTATTCATTTTTAGTATTTCCTGTAGTTATTATCTTTATTTCAAGTATTTTCAATTTTTATATTCTGTATCCATTTTCAGTATTCTCAATGTTCATTTACTTTATATTCAGTATTTATTTTTAATAATTGCAGTATATTTAGTATTTCCAGTATGTCCAGTATATACAGAATTTATTTTAAAAATTACGTAAAACTTTAAAAGTACTTGTATTATTCATTTTCATTTCCAGTATTTTTAGTATTTTTAGTATTTGTTTCTAGTATTTTTAGTATTTATTTTCATTATTGTCTTTTTTTATTTCCAGTATTTATTTTCTTTATTTTCAGTATTATTAGTATTTATTTTCATTATTTTCAGTACTTTCATGCTTTACTTATAGTATTTTCAGTACTTACAATATTTATTTTCTTTTTTCAGTACTTTTATTAATAATTAAAATAGTATTTACAGAATTTCTAGTTTTTCCAGTATTTAGTTTCAAGTATTTTTGGTATTTATTTTCAGTTTTACCAAAATATTTTTTTAATTCCAGTGTTTATCTTCAGTATTTTCAGTATTTATTTTCAGTATTATATTTTCTGTATTTTTAGTATTTTTTTCGGGAGTTTTGTTATCTGTATTTTTAGATTAATTTCAGTATTTGCAGTATTTTCAGTATTGATTTTCAATACTTTCAGTATTTTATTATTTTCTTTATTTTCAGCATTTATTTTCTGTATTCTCAGTATTTAGTTTCAGTAATACTCTTTGGTATCTAGTATTTAGTATTATCAGACATTTCTTTCAGTATTTTCAGTATTTCTTTGCATTATTTGCAGTATTTTCAGTAATTCCAGTACTTTCATTATTTATTTTAAATATTTGCAGTATCTTCAATACTTTTATTTTCTATTTTTAGTACTTGCAGTATTTTCAGCATTTATTTTCAGTATTCATTTTCGGTATTCTCAGTATTTTCAGTATTTCTTTGCATTATTTGCAGTATTTTCAGTATTCTTAGTACTGTCATTATTTATTTCATATATTGCAGTATATTTAATGTTTTCAATTTTATTTTCAGTATTTATTTGCAGTACTTTTAAAACATTTATTATATATTTTCATTTTCGGTATTCTCAGTATTTTCAGTATTTATTTTCTTTATTTGCAGTATTTTCAGCAGTTTACGTGTTTTTTTAAATCTGTTGAGTTACTATTATTTTAATTTTTTTTAATTCACCATTATCCATAATATTTTTTATACTCACCTTTTTACGTCACATCGGGGTCACCAATTATTGACCTAAAAAAAATATAATTTTTCCAGTTTAAGAGTAAACGTTGCACTCTTTTTTGTTTCAAGAACACTTAGAAAACTGATTCTATATTTAGTATTATTATTTTACAAAAAAAAATTCTAGAGATTACTATTTAAAAAATATTTATGATTGCTATAAATATTTTTCTAGAGTACATATCTACCAAGATATAAAATAATTTGAAAATCTATACTAAAAAAAATCAGCAAATAATTTAAAATCATAATTTTCAATCCAAAAAGTAAGTCATAATATTGCAAATTAATTAAAAAATAAATTAGTCGGTAAATAATACAAATTTATTTCAATTAAAATACATTTATTATTTTATTTATCTAGTTACATCAACAGTAATGAATATTTACAAACAAACAAATTATTACACTTTCTACACAATTTACACGAATCTATTTACACAAATCGAATAAATAATTTTTAATAAATAATTAACTATAATTTTGATTCAAATATTTATACTAATTGATAAAAGTGATATTTTTTTTGGTTTAACGAATAATAAATATTTGTGTTAATATAACGTTGGTAATAAGTATTTATTTAACATCAATTAATTATTTATTTACATTATTGATAAAGTTATTGCAATTGTTTCTATATATATATATATATATATATATATATATACATATTATTTTCTATTTTTTATACTCTTGCCAAGGTATACAATTAAACAAACACTGGACCATCCCTCCGTCTCCATAAATAATTAAGGGTACAGAATTTTGTCGTCAATTTTTTCTAGGGCCAGAAGAAACCCTTAAATTTTCTTGAACCGAAGGTGGGGCAGACCCCAAAGACGAGCTGTGTCTTGGGAGTCTTTGGGGTATTACAAATGGGGGCGGTGGGCCACTTACTGAACTTTGTCGTATTATCTGAAAAAAAAGAAATTAATTTTTATAAAGAATTCTTTAATTTTAATTTTTATAAAGAATTTATGAAGAATTCTTTAATTTTTATAAAGAAATTTAATTTTTTTTTCTCCCTTATATTATTATTTTAACAATGATAGGACCTTAAAAGTGTTATGATACGTGGTGGTGGTTTGACTTAACTAACTATGTCGGTTTTATAGATGGTAACGCTAAGGGCTTTTCTATATCTGTGTGATGAATTTTATTTTTACGATTTTCGTAATTTTTACGAAGTAACTACTGCTTGACATCATGCTGACTGAAGCATGTATCAAATCTTAAACTTGCAGTTTTAAATCCCATAGCCCTAACCACTGATCCACGAGAAAGCCCGTACAAAATGTTGCATGCATAAATTTATTAAAAACAATTTTAAATTGATATGAGTTCTCAAGTATCAAGTATGTCGAGTGTGTTTTCAGTATTTATCATCAGTATTTATGTTAGTATTGTCAATATTTTCAGTATTTTTAGTACTTGTAGTATTTTTTCTTAACGCTTTCAGTATTTATTTTAAGTGTTATCAGTATTTGTAGTATTTATTTTTAGTCTTATCAGTTTTTCCAGTATTTTCAGTAATTTCAATACTTTTGTTTTATTATTTTTAGTATATATTTCCATTATTTTCAGTATTTTCATTATTTTTGGTAGTTATTCTCGTAATTGTATTACCTTCAGTATTTATTCAGTATTTAAATACTTCCAATATTTATTTTTAGTACATCATTTTTTTCAGTATTCTCAATATTTATTTTCAGTATTTTTATTTATTAATTTATTTTTCGTTTTCAGTACTTTTTCAGTATTTCCAGTATTTATTTTTCAATACCGTATTTCAATCGAGTATATATGCAGTATTTCAGTATTTTGGTATTTATTTTTAGTATTTTCAGTACTTTTAGTACTTTTGGTACTTTGAATATCTATTTTTAGTATGTCTAATATTTTCAGTATTTATTTCCGGTATTCTCAGTATTTATTTTTAGAATTTGCAGTATTTATTCATATTCAGTATTTTTTAGTATTACCAGTATTTATTAAGTATTGTTAATACTTTCAATATTTATTTTTAGTATATCCAGTATTTTCAGTATTTTCCATATCTGTTTTCAGAATTTATTTATATTTATTATTATTCAGTATTTATTTATTTTTAATATTATCAGTATTTGCAAGAATTTCAATATCACTCATTCTCAGAATTTATTTACAGTATTTCCAGTATTCTCAATCTTTTCAGTATTTATTAACATTATTTTCAGTATCTTCAGTAATTATTTTCAATGTTTTACTTATCTTTAGTCTTGTCAGTAATTATTACCAATTATTTTAATTTTCTTAAGCAATTGTTGCCATTATTTTCAGTATTTTCTATATTTCAAATATTTTCTGCATTTTCAGCATTTATTTACATTATTGTCAGTATTTTTAGCATTCTTAATATTTTTAGTTTTTATGTTCAGTTTTAATTTTAGTATATAAACTAAATTCAGTATAAATTTTCAGTGTTTATTTTCAGTATTTCTAAAATTTTAGTAATTTAAGTATATTTTAGTATTTTTAATATTTATAGTACCTATCTTTTGATATTTTTAGTATTTTTAGTATTATCCGTATGTTTATATTTTTTTAGTATTTTCAGTATTTTTAGAAATTTTTAGTTATATCAGTATTTTTAGTATTTTTAGTTTTTTAGTATTTTCAGTATTTTTCTATATATTCAGTATGTTCACTACGTTCAGTATACTTAGCATATTCAGTACATACATACAGTATGTTCAGTATATTCTGTATTTATACTAGTACAAAGTTATACGTCGTTATACTTAAAGCAAATTGCTGTAACTTCCTATACCGTAATTTAAAATTTTTAAAAGCTCAGAAAAACAGATTATTTTTGAGAATTTTTATTAACTTCCCGTAGGGTAAGTTATAGTAATCGCAAAAAAATCGAAAATGAAAATTTTTATATATCTTTACGTTTCAGAGGTTTCTGAATATTTTGGAATACCTTAGAAAAAATGGATGTATGTGTGTGTGTGTGTGTGTGTGTGTGTGTGTGTGTGTGTGTGTGTGTGTGTGTGTGCGTGTGTGTATGTATGTGCGGATACAAATTTTCGTCGACGATTTCGGGAACACCGATCAACCGTTTTGAATAATTCAAAAAACATTCGATTCGTATTGATAAGGAGTCGTGCTGATTAGTTTTTGGCGAAGTCAGGTCTAGCCGTTCCGAAGATACGGGGCAAAAAGTGCCGAAAACGGTAACTCAGTTTTTAAGAGAACGGAGCGTCCGATTTTAATAATTCAAAAAACATTTTACTTGTATTGACAAGATGAAGATATGATCAAATTTTTATAAGGGCAGGTTTAGCGGTTTCGGAGATATCACGAAAAAGTAAAAAAAAAATGCCATTTGGCGGTCAAAAATGATCATTAGACATATGCACATCAAATTATCAGATATTTTATAGAGATTTTAACAATAAATATAAATTTTGTTTACATTCCTATGGGTTCCGTACCAATGTTTACCCATTAGACAGCGACGCGGCGCTTACGCGCTTTATATTTTGTCTCTATGCATTTAAAGCAGTACGATTGCTTTGAAAAAAAGTTCAGATCTTCCAACATATGTCAAAATGAAGAAAACATTTTATTTTCAAAAAAAAAGATTTAAAAAAAAAATTAAATAATTTTTTTTTTCAATTTTTTTTTTTCAAAAAAAAATAATTTTTTGTCAAATTTATAGTTTCTCAAAAATCTTATTTTTTACAAGTAATTTTTTTTTCAAAAATGTTAATCGTTTTTAAAAAAAATAATAATTTTTGGTACGGGAAGTTCCAGCAATTTGCCTTAAGGCACGATGCCCTAATTGCCTTAAGACAGAATTCCACTTACAGCTAGTTTTTTAGTATTGTTGAAAATTTTGAAAACATTTAATAAATTTAAAAAAAATGTCTGTTTTAAAAATCATGACCATTAAAAAAATGAAAATTATTAAACTTAACTGAAAATTTTTTGAAAATTTTAAAATTTTTAGATTTTATATTCAAACTAATCAGCTCGTTTCCTTATTAATAGCAAACAAATGCTTGCTGAAATATTTAACTCGGGTAATCCGTCCTTTCAAAATCGTCCAGGAAAAATTGTATCCGCACATACACACACATACATCCATTTTTTTCTAAGGTATGCCAAAATGTTGAAAAACCTCAAAAACGTAAAGATATGCAAAAAAATCATAAAGGGTTGACTTATTATTGAAGTCTTTTATTGTTATTTAAACTCATTAATTTATAAACAGTAGTATATATTATTAAGTAAATATAAATATCCCGTCACCATGAAAAAGTAAAGTAAAGAATAAAACAACGATATATGTTCATAGTCACTCTACAACCTTCTCCTCTTGTTACTTTTGCTAGTCTTCCAGTAATTATAAAATAGAAGTATTTATATACATATATTTACTCCGACAAGTCCCGGATTAAATGAGCAAAAACCGGGTCAAATCCTGACCAGGATTAAAATTATTTACTCACTTGTGCCGTTGAAGGTCCATATTGCCTAACAGGATTCCCAGCTTGCCTCAAAGCATTTTCCAAAGACATCCTTCTCTGCTGAGGACTCGACCTCGGCGGTATGGCCGGAGGCGGCCCTTTTACCGCCGTTGCACTCGGCACATTGACCCTTGGCGGAATCGCAGGAGGAACCGGCTGCTTAGTCGTCTTACTTGGAGAAGTAAACCTTTGATCATCTTTATCGATCGAATCTTTATCTTTATCCTCAGAGAGAATTGGAGGAGTATCCTGGGTTGCAGGAGGTTGAGGTTGGGGTTGAGGTTGGGGTTGGGGTTGAGGTTGAGGTTGGGGTTGTTGACCCAGTTGTTGCAAAACTGGTTTTACTGGAGTGTATTGAGGTGGTGATTGGGTTATGGGTATATTGTTTTGCTTTTTTTGCTGCTGCTGCTGAAGGCATTGCACTTGGGCTTTCTTTTTGTCTTGACCTGCTGCCGAGTAGGAGAAGACGCACAGGACTGCGTAACATATTTGATCAGCCTGAAGTACAAAATCATATATATATATATATATATATATATATATATATATATATATATATATATATATATATATATATATATCTTGATATTGTTTGTTTCGACTTTGAAACATTATATGATACAGTTTTGCAGCCACAAGTCGAAAAATAAAACCAGAACGTAAATATAAATCTTTTTAATACGTTTCGAGCTATTCTGCTAGCTCATCATTCAGCTAAAAAACAAACAGAGTAATAAAACAAAGTAACAAAATAAAATAAAACAGAATTAAAATTATACATACCAACGCAGTTTTGCAAGTTATTAAACATTCAAAAAATTATTTTATGTAAAATTTGACAAACATGAGTATTTTGTTCTAAAAATAAAAAAATATGTATATATATAAAATTTTGAAAAATGAAATCAAGTAATCGAAATATATCAAATTCTGAAAGATAAAAGAAAATAAAAGAAAATATCAAGTGGTAAAAAATTGTTCAAATATTAAAATAAATCAGATTTACATATATTAATTCTCTTCTCTTATTAACACAATCAGAATTTAAAAAAATGAAAACAGATTCAGCAAATCTTCTCAGGTCAACATTTTGTTCAATATATAAAATAACTGGATTGTTTAGGTCAAATGTGTGTTTAGAATTTTGCATATGGTCTGAAAGCATTGTTTTATATTGATTTTTATTGTTTGAATTATATTTATGTTGAAGCATTCTTTTGTATATATACTGTGAACTCTCCCCAATATAGAATTTTTCACAATCATTACAATTCACCTTGTAAACGGAGTCAACAATTCTATTTTGTGGTGTTTTTGATTTTAAAGGAGTATACAAAGAATTTAGAGTATTTTCAAATTTGAAAACTAAAAGAAAACCTTCTTCAGAAAATATCTTTTTTAAAAAATAAGTTAAATCGCCTAAAAATGGTAAGGAAATAATACCTTTATAACGATTTAGAAAAGATGAAGAATTTATTAAACTAGTATTTTTTAGCTGAATGATGAGCTAGCAGAATAGCTCGAAACGTATTAAAGAGATTTATATTTACGTTCTGATTTTATTTTTCGACTTGTGGCTGCAAAACTGTATCATATATATATATATATATATATATATATATATATATATATATACGATATATATATATATATATATATATATATATATATATATATATATGTATGTATGATGATAGTTTTACCGACGTTGATACATATTTGTAATATTTTTGCAGCCCAGCCGTCGAATTAAAAAAAGATTCAATAACAAAATTATTCATTCCGTTAAACGTTTCGGCATCTGATGTGTGTCATCATTCAGTAATCTTTGTATTTGTCAATACAATCAAACTGCTGGAAGTTTCATACACTTTCTATAGAAAACATGGTACAATCCAACCCGAGTCTCTTTTGGTATTTCGACTTATTGATTACGTTTCAAGTTTTTCAGATTCTTTTTGTAAATAATACTACTGAGCTTATACAAAATTTTCAAATTTCTGCGAGGAGAGATAGAAAATGAATTAAGTGTTTCTTCTTTGACCTGCTTTTTGAAAAGTTTCAAGTAACATTCGATGAATTAAAGTAAATTTAAGAAAAAGTATATATGTATACTTAGTATAAAAAACTTGTAATTTAAAAACACTTGAAAAATTGTGAAACAAAATTTTAATTTTTTTTTTTAATTATTATTTCTAAATGACTGTTTTTGTTAAAATAACAATAGTTAACCAAATAACAATAGTTAACCAAAAACTTATAATTTAAAAACACTTAAAAAATTGAGAAACAAAATATTTCCTGCATCAAAATACCTAAAAATTTGTAAAAGAAAAAAACTTATATTGTAAAACTACTTAACAATAATAATAAAAATGATAATGATAATATTATTAATAATAATAATAATAATAACAATAATATAAGACACTTAAATTTGTTAAAATATCATAAAATAATCTAAAAATTGTTAAATAAAATGATTATATTGTAAAATTATTGTAAAGCTTATTAGGATACTTATTAAATGTTTAAAAAATACTTGCAACAAACAAACTAGATATATTTAAAAATAATTAAAATTAACTAAATATAAATAAGTTTATAGTAAATAAATTAATTAATAAATAAGTTATAAAATAGCTAATAGTTAATTAAATTATATTAAATCTGCAAAATATTGACTTAAGCCTTATTATAATATTATTATACAGACGGCTTGTAAAATAAATAAATAAATATCAAATTTGTTATACACTTACCATTGCAGATTTGTACGATCTTTGAATTATCTGCTGGGATTTAGGATCTATAAAAGTAAGATAAATTTTAAACATCAACCTTAAGGTTTTATAAAATTAAAGATGTTAAATTTTTTACTTACTAAATTCTTCCAAAATAAAAATTCCGCCTTTTTGTGTGAAGCATTTTCGAATGTGATCCAGACGAACGAAAAACTGGAAAAATATAAATAAATTTGCAAATTCATATAGAGGAATTTTTGTAAACTATGGAACATCAAATGCATTCTGTAATGAAATATATATATATATATATATATATATATATATATATATATATATATATTATACTACTGTATATACTTTGGAAATTATTCGAGGCCAATTCTCTAAACTTTAGAAAAACTGGCAGCCAATTCTCTAAACACTAATTATCTTCCAAAACTAATGTTTTGAAAATCAAATCAGAAAAACACTAATTAATTATATTAATATTGAAAAGTGCTGATATTTATTCGAAATAATTAATTCGTTAAAAACACTTTACTTATTGTTCTTTTTATGTACACTTTTTCAATTAATAAATAAAAATGTGCATTTTTAAATAAGTATATTGTTTTTATTTTCTAGAAAGATGTTCATAGTTTTCAGAAATTTAAAAAAAATGCTACAATTTAAGTGTCAAATTTTATAATAAATAATAATAATATTATTGTTTTAATTTTAGATGTATTGGCTGCTGATATTTCCCAAGAATATATTTTAACAAATATGTATATATGCATATATACAGCCGAAACGTTTGGATTTCTTTTATTGTTCATATTTTTTGGACAAAAATCGTTCTAATAGTATATATATATATATATATATATATATATATATATATATATATATATATATATAATTTAAGTATTTATCTAATTATTTTCTTGACAATACAAAATTGCATGTGCAAAACACATAATGTGTATTATGCGTGCTAGGAAAAAAAACTTTAATTAAAGAAATTAAAATATCACAGTACAACTTGTACTTAATAAATTTCTTCTTAAAAAGGAAGAAAATGAATAACCTTAATAGTTTTTGATAATTTATACAAATAATCAATAGAATATTTGATTTTAAACATATATTTAGTCAAACTAAACTAATTAGTAAATATAAAGAATAATTTCATGTAAATAACTTTATAAAAATGTGATAATTACTTATATAAAAAATGACACCTTGCAGAACAGAAATAATGCTTAATAATATATAAAAACAAAAAATAATAATAATAATCCAATATAAAAATAAGAACTTTAATAATTCTTTCAGATTAATATTCTGATAATGTTTTAAATTTTTATTCAATAATCGAACCAGCGTGTATGTGTATATATGTACATTGATATGAAATCAGCAATCAGCTGGAATTATTTTCGAAATCCAATTTCATAATAATTATTATTCTTAACACTTATTTATTTTATATTAAGACGTCTTTCATACAACTCATGCACAACTTTTCTCACAAATTCGTAAATTTTGCTTTCTTTTTAATATTTATTTGTTTTATAAATAATTCTACCTCAGAACATTAATAAGCACAGTTATTTATTTAACAGACATGCAAATTTTCTAAGACTATTTTATCTATACGACTATTTTTTCCTTTAGACAACTTCTATACATCATCTATTATCTACTCATTTATTGACTACTACAAAATATAAATAAAAAAATAAAAATAATTTAAAAATATAGTTTAAAAATTAATGTGAATTATTTTATTCTTTTGTAAATAAAGTGCACACTATAGGAAAAACTGATTTATTATCAGAGTTGAAGTTTAAAAATATGGCATAAATTTTTATTAGGGTTTTAAATTTTTTCTGAATTGCTTAATTTTCAGTCAATTGGTCTAATGTTATACTAAAAAATATTTATTCATCATCATTCACAATTTTCAACCGTAAAATTATATCACTGTTTAAGTACAGGTTTTTTTGAAAAAAATTTTTTTTTAATATTTAATTTCCATTGCTTTGTGTTCTCCAATAAAAATATTATTTTTATAATTGACAATTTTATTTAAATAATTTTTACTCTTAAAATAATTTAAATAATGACAAAAATAATTTAAATTATGATAATTATTTAGTAACGTAGATAAAAAATAAAATATTTTTTAATAATAAATAGCAATTTATTCTTTATATACATATATGTGTGGTTGTGTATCAATACACATTCCTACCTACGTTATATATATATATATATATATATATATATAAATATATATATGTGTGTGTGTGGGTGGGTGTAACTATACATATTGACTAGTACATACAATATGATTTTTTTACATGAAAGCTCTAATAACTACTACTGAAGGACTCATCAGGGCGACACTACTCAATCAATCAACTTCTAGTACGAAATAATTTGTGCTATTTGGGTTTTGAACTAAACAAAAAATAATAATTGAAACAGAAAACACAAAGCAAATAATATCATCTAATTAAATATTTATATACCTCGAAGTCCTGCAGGTCCAACAGGCCAGTGTTAAGCGAATCCAAAACAAATCACGAGTTAGTCACAGATTTAGATTAAGATTATATAGTCATCAGAAAAAAACGTGAATTGTCCTAATTCTTCCATATTTAAGCTCATTTTGACACATGACCATTATATACATATGTATTTTTATACATGTGTATGTATGTATATGTATATGGTTTTTCGGATGGTGAAAGACATATACTAAACAGTTTCCAAAGCATCCATCCAATCATTAAACTAGAAATGACTCTAATTAATTTAGAATTGGTTTCATGTTCTCATTTATTTCATTTTTAGTGCGTAACCCAAAAATACATAACTAGACAAAAAATGTCTTGCCTTCTACAAATACTTTGTTCATTTATTTTTCTGTAAACATATATAAGCATCTTTGCCTATAAAATACGACTAATGAAAGTTACAGTATGTATTATTATCTAATGGAAAACATTTAAAATGCTTCGAATATTTCATTAAGGTACTGGAAATTTTAGCAATTTGCCAAGGCACGATACCATATACCACTAGTTGTTTGATTTTTGTTTTATCAGATATAACATTTTAATTTTAGCAGTGCATTTTATTTCAACATCCGACAACTAATATTTTATCAATTTTATCAAGCTATTCATTTATTTGTTGTTACTTGCTATTTTGTTTATAATTTTTAGTTCCAATTTTTATGTAAATATTTTATTACTCGTTTTATAAATATTTTTTATACCGCACGCAAGATGAAACAAATTAGAACTCGAAACGTATGTTGCATTAAATGAAGCCATTTTCAAATTTTGTAATTATTTTTATAATATAATACTATATATATTTTTAATAATACTTATAACACATACATATATATTGAGAACAAATTGTGTAATTTATTTATGTTATGAAATCTCAAACGTTTCGATTTTTTGACAATTTATGGGGCAATTGTGCTCATAATATAGTGTTGTCATGGCAACGTTCTCATGCTTGTTCTTTATAGAGAACTTGATAGAGAAATTAAGAACATGTTTATCTATTTAGTGTGCGATTAGGCGTATTTTACATGTAAACGAGCAAGGAAGAATGTTATGATAACTGTACCATCTACAATTATGGTATAACATTCTTCCTTGCTTCTTTATATGTAAAATACGCCTGATCGCACAGCAACTTAATAGACATTTTCACTGCCAAAACAAGCCTAAGAAACGTTGCCATGACAACCCTATTTTATGAGAACTGTTAGGGCAAAATTGCCCCATTAATCTTTGTAAACTTCAATTACGAAATGAAAACTAATATAAGGGTAACTAAATATACTCTTAACGAAATTATTTAATGATTAATTTAATTGGATATATATTAGAAATAAGTACAAGACATTATTAGAACTAATTATATAATCAAAAATTTTTCAGGCATCCATCAGATTATTTATTCTCATTGATATAACTTTTAATGTACGTTTCCAGTACATATTTGGCTCATATTCAGTATCTCATTTCATTTCTCGTCAATTAACTTAATTCAACAAATCCATATGTATTTCAACAATTATATATTTTTATGATGGATTCCTCGATAACTTTTTATTATATATCTTTCACCATCCGAAAAACTATATACATATATATTGCAAGAGAAATAATAAATAAAAATTTTTTTGGTTAACTTGACATAGTTTTCTAGGAACAAATTTTTTATTTTAACTTTGCTTAAAGTGTATCCTTTCATTTGATAATTGTTTTATGTCTATGCTTATACAAAAAACAACAATGACAAAAATAATGTAATTACGATAAATGTTCTATAAAAAAATAATGCAATTTAGAATAATAAAATAGCTGAAGTCAGGATGAATTAAATAATTATATTACTAAATTCTATTTCTGTCATATATGTTCAATGAAGAACAGTTAGTAAAAATATTAAAAAATTATGTTAAAATAAACAAAATCCTTACAATATTTTTATGTCATAATTTTACTATCATAAGGCACATAATTGTGTAAAATAAAATATATTAAGTTCATAAAATTTTGAACGACTTATACAATTTTATCAAAGAAGTTGAAGATAAATTTTTGTAATTTCTCGAGTCGTGATATATAGCAAATATACATACATACACATACAAGGCTATATAAAAATGTTTAGGATCCGATAATTTATATAAAAGCTTCAATAAAAATTTATCCTAAATAATTTTATACTATTAGAGACTCTTTGGTTTACTTGAATAATATTGTTATTCCATTTTGATGAACTTTATTTACTTTTCTGTTGGGTAAACAGAAAATCTAATTTTACTGACTTTGAAATCAATATTTCTACGTGATCATCTGATACAAAATATTGGTTAATTAATTTCCTTTACCCAATCTCCGACATTAATTTATATTATGTTATAATTTAAATGTATCTGGTACATTATGAACAAGTACCTAATTGTTCATCATTAATATTCGTACAAAATAATTTTTGTACTAGTGTTTCCTATAAGAATATAGAATGAAAATAGCATAGAATATATTAAACTAGTGCAAGAATATTATATACTATCTAAAATTAATAAAATTAGCGAAGCTCTAAATATTATTCTAAAATACTCGGTGAAATTCTACGTGAAAATCCTATGGTCATTTTGGAAGTTGTATTTATTGTATGTAATCCGTTTAATTCGTTACATAACGATTAAAAATGTATAAAAAAAATATTTCAACGATTTTAAAATGAATCACCATTGTTTCAATTTAATACCGAATAATTTTAACCTTTTAGTTAATACTAAAAGTCATTGTATTGAATACCTTTGTAAAGTAAGTGCACGAAAATCTGAATGAGAAGCGATTAACTCCTGAAAGTATTTTTATCAAGTGGATAAAATTTTTAATAAGAAATTTCCAATTGCATAACTTTAATATAATCTTGTTATTAGTTGAAAGATTGTCTTTTATCAGGTTTTGAAAATATCTCCAACTGTTGGTAGATACATCCATACAATGCATATACACATACAGGCATATGCTAATACAATAACTACTTTGGTGGCGAAAAAAATCATATATTTTTGAATTTAATTTTTATGAATCATTTTTAAAATCTAAAGCAATAAATAAAATATATATTATGTACCTTGCTATAGGCAAAGAGAAGTCCAACTCCATCCAAGCAAACTTGGAGCAAACCTCCTTCTCCTGTAGAAAGATCTTGAACTGGAAATTCGCCTCCGAGTTCACTAACTCCTGAAACACCACTTCTTTCTATTGCAGATTTTATACTGTAGTACATTGCTTTACACTAGAAAAAAATAATAATAACATAGAATAATATATTGACAAAAATATAACAGAACTACATTTGTTTCTTATACAAATTCCTGGCAACAACCAGAGAACAAAAGTAATAGACCGTGTTATGAAGAACTTTCCATACTGCAGTCAGGCGTTTAGACAAGGATTATTAAAATTTTCCAATTTAACACTAAGAATAACTAATTTTCCACTGAATGAAGGCTAGGATTATAGCCGAAACGTATGGATTTAAAATAAATTTTTGAAAGAAATTCATGTTTTTTATTGATGTTATGCCCGATTACTAGACTTTGTTAATACTATTTTGTTATTAGTTATATATATATATATATATACTGATTAAAGATATGGATACTAGAAGGAAACCAATATCAATTAGCTTGTCAGTAGAATCCTTTTATAAGGTTGTCAAATATCTCCCTTCCGCCTTTTTGTATTATAAACCAAGAGCAAAAAAGCGGAAGGGAGATATTTGACAACCTAATATGTTCTCGATTAATAGTAAAGAATAATTTTTTCGTTGGGAATTTGTATTTGTCCCGGATAAATAATGGATTTTAATTGATTCATCAGTAGAGTCTATTTTGAATTACAGTTTTATTGTTAATGTACTGAGTAGCAAATTAAATTGCATTATTCAAAATTAAAAAAGGACTCTACTGTCAAGACTTTGCTGACGAGCAAATTAAATAAAAAATTAGAAAATGATAAAGGAATTCTACTGATGAACAAATCAAATATAGTCCTTGAAATATCATAATGACGAACAAATTAAATACAATTCTTGAGGATCAAAAAAGGACTCTACTGACGAGAAAATTGTATATAATTTTAGAAATTATAAAAAGACTCTACTGACAAGCAAATTAAATATAATTCTTAAAGAACAAAAAAGGACTTTACTGACGAACATTTTCTCGATTTTAAAAAAGTCTGAAAATTGTTACATTGAAAAAAATGACTCTACTGACGACCAAACTAAAACTAAACGTGGAAAAATAACTGACAAATGTTTGCAAAGAAATTGCAAATTATAAAAGAACTCTACTGACAAGCAAACTTGGAAAATAACTGACAATTTTTCATGGCAATCATAAATTGTAATAAAAAGAACTCTGACGAGTAAAGTTTCCGAACAAAAGTAAATGAAAAAATTGCAATAATAATCAAAGACTTTGATAAAAAAATTCTACTGACGAGCAAACTCAAGAAATAAATAAAATGGAGTATGACTCTGCACGGATCAGAGACATGGACTCTAAGAAAAAATATTTGTAAAGTTTCTGAAAAAAGGAGTAATAAATTGTTATATTAATTAAAGACTTTAATAAATAGGACTCTACTGACGAGCAAATTTAAGAAATTAATTGAACTTTATATTGGGAGCATTATTCTATAAGGATCAGAGACATGGATTCCAAGAAACATTAAGTGTAAAATTTTGATATTTATTTTTGAAAAATCTAAAATTATTCAAGAAAAGTAATAAATTAAAGAAGTACTGCAGGCAAAATAAGAACTATACCGATTATGATTGTAAAAAAAATACATTTGGTTTACAAATTCTACATGACGTCACCAAAAAAAAATCTCAGATTGTTAGATACAAAACCTAACCCGGAAACCACACAAATGTCCAAAAAAACGATGTTAGATAACAGGGTGTTTCTGACTCAGCTTCATAACACGAGTAACGTTGCAGTTTATGTATAAAACGCCTGACTGCACAGCAAATACATGACATTTTCACAGTATGATTCAGTAGCATAATGTAACTAAGTTGGAGCGTAACATGGCCTTGCCATAACATTTTTCTGTTATGCGGCCGAATCGGCAAATCACATATATCTGTTTTAGACATAGGACCAAGGAGAGTACTTTCGGACTTGTCATTTCGGATAAGTTTTGTTTCTATTTCCATTTCTGACCTTTTTCGCATAATATTTATGAAGTTGGGTTTGACCTCCATTCCGTTGCCACAGGCACAAAACTTTGGTTTTTGGACTGTATGTCATGTTTATGAGACGTTCGAACCACCATCTTTCCACAATTACACCTTGAATTGATCTGAAGACGAGACCATCGTCTCTGACTTCCAGGAACATTAATTCTCCTGAGGAATCTATACCCTGAAAAAAAAATTAAATTTTAGTAAGCCAAAATAAAGAATCTGACTTGAATGAAATTTATTCTAAGACAACTATTAGATCAATTTCTGTATAAGTCTCCCTACACTTTATTGTAAGGAAGTCAGAATATCGCGAAGACTTTTGTAGAGACCCTGTTATTAATGTTTTTTAAATATATAATGTTGATTGCTAGTTGAATTTGCTGTGTTATGTAACAGTAAAATAAAAGAATTAGACAAAACAAGTAAATTTATTAAATATCTTGAAACTTTTGGAGCATTTCATGATTTTTGTTCGTGTTCTTGATTTTTTTTCCTTGGAGATTTTTTATATTTAAAACATTTTCAAATGGAAACAAGTTTTTGCATCTCATGATAGGGTGAATTTTTTTAACTTCCCGAAGGAGAAGTTTATGTTTCCACCAAAAAATCCGAATCGCTAATTTTATGTTTTCTCCTGGACGTTTCAAGCCATTCTGAATCGAATTAGACCAACATTTGGAAAAAGTATGTGTGTGTGCATGTGAACAGATTTTTTGCCGTAAATCGACGTTTTCTCAAAACCGCCTGAACCGATTTCAAAAATTCAAAAGCCATTCGATGTATCTCGATGTGGGCTATTGTTTGCCAGTTTTGTGCTACGATCGTCCAAGCCGTTTCTTTGTAATTTGAAAAAAAGTGAAAAAAATTCGTCCACGTTTTAGCCCGCAATTCTGAATCGATTTTGAAAATTCAAAAACTGTTCGAAACATGTTGGTTGGGAATCGCGCTGATTAGTTTTTGGTAAAGATCGGCTGGGCCGTTTTCTTGTAATAAAGTGTTAAAATAAATTTTTCGACGATTTTTTTTATTTTTTTCTGACGGTTGATACCATAGTCTTCTAGGTCATACTAAAATATTACCGCCCTACGACAACTCGTTTAGCTTTAAAAATTCGTCAAAGTTTGCAAAAATTAATATCGTTTTTTTGGCATTTGCAAAATTAGACCTTTGATCGACGTTTTCTCAAAAACGCCTGAACCGATTTCAAAAATTTAAAAGCCATTCGATGTATCTCGATGAGGACTAGCGTTTATCAGGTTTGTGCGACGATCTGCCAAACCTTTTCTTTGTAATTTGGAAAAAAGTGTTAAACTTTTTGTCCACATTTAGGCTCATAATACCGAATTGATCTTAAAAAATCAAAAATTGTTCGAAAGATATTATTTGGGAATGATACTGACTAGTTTTAGGTGAAAATCTACCGAGCCGTTTCCTTGTAATTAACTGTTGAAAAAAAAATTTAAGCCGATTTTTATGGAACTTTTTTGGCGATATATATCACGGTCTTATCGAACTTACTGAAATATTACGGCCTTACGACAAATAGTTTGATTTTAAAAATTCATCAAAGTTTGAGAAAATAAGTAGTTCTTTTGAGATTTGTTAAAATTAAAATTAGACTATTTACTTGGTATAACGATAGAGTACTTGGTCTTAATAAACATACTAAACCATTCAAGTCCTACGGAAACTGGTTCAATGAAAAAAAAATTATTTCGTGAAAATTTGCTTTTAGAAAATACTCCGAGTTAACGTGTTCGTTCGTTTTCAATTATGTGTAAAAAATCCACTCGGAATACTTTTAATCACTCACAAATTAATTTATATTTTATTGATTAAGTCGATTATTTACACATATCGGGAAGTTCATGTAACTTGCCTCAAGGCAAAATACCAATACCAACTAGTTTTTCAATTGTATTTGCATATTTGTTTATAATTACCTGATGAACTGTGAAACTTTGTCGATGTACTAATCGTGATCCAAGTGGTTTCAAATCGATATCATTGCCATGCTGAAATAAAAAACTATTTTTAATAAAATGTAGAAGAAACAAAATCAAACAGAAATGTGTTAGTTAATAAACCAATTAGTATATTATTGAACATGCAACTCTATTTTAGGCCAGTACAAATTTATTCATTTCGAATTATAAAAATATACTAGTAAAATGTTAAACAAAATGTATCAAAACTAATTATATTAAGTATAAATTTAATAATTACCAAATTATTGATTCGATCAAGTAGTTGATTGACTTCTTGACTGTAAACTAATCCAATGTGACTTTTTCCAAGTAACCGACGCACCTGAAACAAAAAATGTCTTATTAAAATAAGATAAATATCCGAGAATCAAAATTAATTTAAATTTTACTCATTATATATATTGAGAAGATTGTGAGTGGATGTGATATTAAATTACCTACGAAATTTAAATAAACAACTTTTCTTCCTTACACTATTTTTTAAGTATTTTAAATTTAACAAAAGTTTTGAGAATCAGTTTGCCTGAACATCAGTGTATAAATTTTATATTTAATTTCTGAAATATGAACTAGAACGTCCATGTTATCAAATGCAACTTTATCTTAAAACACAAATGTATTTTTTACCATTAAGTCATCAAATGTACATCAAATAACAAGGACGTTCTGGTTTATATTTAAGTGATTTAATTTAAAATTGTAATTTGAAAAATTATATCATATTTAATGAATAGTCCAAAAAAGTATTGTTTGTTCATATTTCAATTATATATGGTTGCCAAATATTTCCCTTCCGCCTTTTTGTATTATAAACCAAGAGCAAAAAAGCGGAAGGGAGATATTTGACAATATATATATATATATATAAATATATATATATATATATATATATATTTATATTACCTTTTGCTTCAGGACATTCTTATTGCAATTTAGCATAACCAAAACTGCTGTCAAATTATATAACATATTTGATAATAATCTGTCTTCATCATGTTCTAAACGTTTTCTTTCAGTTTCACTAAGTTCTTTATATCGTTTCATCATTTCACCTGGTCCCTGGAAAAATAATAAAAATAACATAAACCTAGAGCAATAATCAAGACTATAACATATATTATAAAAAAAGTTCTTTGTCATTTCACCTAGTCCTTAGAAAAATAATAAAAAATAAACCTAGAATAATAGAAACTTTTACCCTTTATTTTTAATATAATAGAGACTTTAACATACAGTATAAAAGTAAGTTATTATTATATTCTTCCAATCAACTCTTTAACTTATTTATTTCCACCATAAGAATAAATGTTTTAGAAACTAGTTAATAACTTTTTTTATTAATTCTGAAGTAAATTTATCATTGCAAACTATAATGAATAATAAAGTATGATATTCAAGAGCCTTAATTTTAAAAGATATTACTTGAGGCTAAACACCAGAATTAATTTAAACAAAAAAATTATGTTTAAATCACTTTCAATCCCAATTCTAAGTTTTGATAATCTCTATTAGGTGTCTGCTCATGTTTTAAATAACATTTAGGAAAAATAGATACAAAAAGCCAAAAATAATTAATAAAAACAAATCTGACTTCATTGTAACCCAATTCATAATGTATTTCAATTAACTAGTTAGTTAATTAACTAGTTTATATCATAATAATAAAAAATAATCATAGCTAGTATAAAAATAGCTACAATTCCTATTAAATTGGTCTAGAGCCAATTTCAAGAAAAAATCACGGTTTTGTATAGAAAATTATCTTGTTTTCAAAATAAGTACACTGCAGCTAACTAAATAATAGCTGTATTAAACTATAAAAAATGTTTTATAAAAAAAAACATTAAAATTTGTATAAATGAAGCTTTTAATGAATTGGTCTAGAAGTAATTTCAGAGAAAAATCTTGGTTTTGTGTAGAAAATTATCTTGTTTCCAAACTAAATACACTACAGCTAACCAAATTTTAGCTGTAGTAAATTATAAAGATTGTTTTATGGGCAAAACAATTAAAATTTGTACGATTTTGTAGTTAATTTACATACCTGGTCCATTCCAATCATATCTCGCTCCTGACTGACAGCATCCAAAAATACATCTTCCCAAAATTGCATGTTGTCCCAAAGGGAAGATCTGTTTAATAAATCAAAAAAAAAATCAAATAATATATAATATATAATAATAGTTTAATAAATAAAATAATATATAAATTTCTAAATACATTAATATGTAGGTACAATATTTTTTTTACTAAAGCTTACAAAAAATTATATGTCGATATGTCTTGTAACAAATTAAATTTTATTTTGATGTGAAAGATTTTTCCATAATTTAACAGCAAATTCATAATTAACTTTAGTATTTAATGTATATTAATTAAAAATTTAATTGTAAAAAGAATGTTTTTGAAATTCAAATTCATGACTTGTTTAAAAGAGTTACTTGTTTAAAAGAGTTACTTCTTTTTATATATTTCCATCTAATTTTAGTTTATTAATTCCATTATTACTAACATTTCAAATCTATTTCTGAAATTTTAAGTTTTGTTCGTTTTTTTTTTTAGGTAACTTACCCAGTTTGGATAATATTTGGCAGAATTAAATACACTGATTGAATCAAAAACACACCTGTCTTTTCCAAGAAGTCCTTCATAAAGGTAAGTCCTGGTGCCATCTGGTGAGGGTAAGGATCCAGTTCCAGATCCAGAATTCAGTAAATTTGAACCATTAAATCGAAAACCAGAACCCAAAGATGATTTACTTGAACCCAAACTGTCTGAACGTTGCTGCTTCATTCGAAAAAACTAAGGAATAAAAAAATCTAAGATAATTAACAGTAGAAATTAAAAGAGTTGCCAATAAACCACCAAGATTAAAATGATTGCTGGTTAGAATAATTAGGAGACAAACTAAATCTAGGCGAATCCCAACTAATTTCATCCAATTTTTTCATTTGTCTTTAGACTCTTAAATGATTCAGAAAGGCAATAAAATTAGCAACTGTGAGTTTTGCCAAAAAACATAAATTTTTATATATTTATACTTACATCAGAGTCAAACGTAAGTAGATCTCCAGACAGCAAACTCTTTTTTGGACTGATGATGTCTTTAAATAATTTTGTGGTAATTTCATTTTGCTTGGCTTGAGGACTATCAGATGCCAAATCTGCCCAAAATACAACAACTTGTTAAAAAAACTCTAAAACAAACAAATTTCAATATAACCCAACTTGCCTGTATTTGCCTCATTTTGTTGACTCCATGCAACATTTTGTTCCATTGGACTTACTGGTGACTTTAGGTGTTCTGTACTGCCAAAAGGAGTAGATGCCTAAAACAGACAAAAAAATTAATACAAAAATCTTGCTAAACTCAATATGCTGTAATCCAAAACATCACAAAATCATTGCCTTTCAAGTTGTTTATCTAGATCATTCTTGGTACCAACTAAAATTTCTTTTAGACGTCTAAACAATATTTTACCAATTTTTTTTCTATTTACCGCAGAATGTAGCTGAGGTGTAAGTTCACTGCCACCACCATCATTTTTCCCTTTACTCCAATAGTGAGTATGAGCAACTTCCATAACCTGGAAGGCTGAAGCCATTCCCCCCAAGCCAAAATTATTATGTGTCACTTCCAGACCATGGGTAATTGCCAGAAGTAACTTCAGCATACCTTTCCAGACTGATTTTGGAATACACTAGATAAAAATAGCCATATAAAAGTTGACCAGATTTTGAACAAATTCGTATATTCCAATAACTTACGACGTCGTCTATGTGATCATCTGGTGAAATTTTCATGTCCAGAGTTTTGTTGATATTGTTTAGTACAAAAATGCGGTATGATTCGTCTTCCATAAGTTTTTTAATGCGGTTTAGTTTGAGCCAACTTATGCCTTCGCCTTGCATTACTGATGTAGTTGCCTGGCAAAAAATAATTGAAAATTATTTGGAATTTCCAAAAAGCCGACAAGTAGAAAGATAAATAGTCAGATATCTAGACAAGTTGGCAGAATACTGGTGCCTTCTGTCTACTAGTAGATCACTAGACAGATAGAGCAGTAACCAGGCACAAAAGTAAATTTCTATCATAATGACTAGACTTAGTGGTTTAACCAATAATTAACTAAATTTCTATGTTTCTCCTTACATCTTTAAGAAAAGCTTGATTCTCCGAGTCAATATTGGCACGATCATGATTCTGGCTCTTCCGTGTTTCATCACTAGTAGCCTTGGCCTTGGTGTGTTTTATCAAAGGACTTTTCTCAACTAAACTCCTACGACCTGATGAAAACGGTCCAAAGGGCTGATGGTGCTCACCTTGTTCTTTTAGAGCTTGTTGGTCAGCTTGCTTCTTTTGTTTACCTAAAAACCGAAGAAAATTAGTAGCAAACTTAAAATATTTGTATCCAAATTTTTCTCTAACCTTTATTATTGAATAAATCAGACAGCATATTAGAAGTCGACGCTGCTATATCATTAAAATCGCTGCTAAAATGCGAGAAAAAGTCCTTACTTTGTACATCAACTACCCCAGATTGCATCACGCTTGTTGAAAATATGCCAGCTTTGGTTTTAAGAGGTTGCTGCAAAAACAATGCATATGACTTGAATGGTAAAATTTTTTTTAAGTATTTTTGGTACCGTTTTCAAGCCTTTTCTCAAAGCAGCTTCTTTAGCACTTTTGGTAATATCACCAATAGTAGCCTTTCCGACGTACGTCAAATCATCTAGAGTGTGTTTACTGACACCAGCTACTGTTTTTGATGCCTCTAAAGCATTTTTGGAAGCTTCTTGGACGCTTTTTGTGGCATCACCTGCAGCTTTTTTTGCTTGATTGGTCAACTGGAAATACATCAAATAAAATGATATTTGAAATACATATTATATATAAATATTACTAAAACGTACCACTTTTATGTACATACTCTTCAAAGTTAGAGCGCGTTACTTCGGTATATCTTTCATAACTTTTGAAACATTCGTTTGAGAGTAATGATGTTTTAGGAAAATTTATTTAAAATCAAATTGACTTTGAGTTTATCTAATACCATAAAGACCTACAGCAACTCGATGCTGTACTATGCATTACTTTTATATTTTTCTCGTAACTTTTTTACCGTTCGTTTAATATGAATGGTGTATTTGAAAAATTCGTTTAGAATTAAATTATCTACAAGTTTGTCTAATATCATAATGCAACCATACAACAAATCGGTATACTTTATAATGGCAATTAATAAATGAATTATAAAAATGCTTACCTTGTCCATTTGTGCTAAAATACCATCCTGACTGCTCTGCCTTGTTGTTTCGCGTACCAGAACTTTGGCTTGGCTTGCAAATTGCTCGATGAGGGAACTTTGTGAGCCTTTCCATGGGGCACACTAAAAAAATAAGGATTTAATCTTTGTAATCCATAGTTCAAAATCATAATTAACAATAAATTTAGGCCGAGGTCGCAAGGACACGATTTAGGCAATTTGAGGTTCGTCGGTTCGAACCCCGACGAAACTGACAAAAAAAAATTCTATTAAATTGTGCTTATTATTTAATAAGGATTAAATATATATAATTGTGCTTACTAAAAAATAAGGATTAAATATATATAATGCATAGTTTGAAATCATAATTAACATTAAATTTGAGCCGAGGTCGTGAAGACACGGTTTAGGCAATTTGAGGTTCGTCGGTTCGAACCCCGACGAAGCTAAAAAATGAAAAAAAGTATTTCCATTAAATTGCACTTACTATTTGTTTTTGTATACCAGGACTTGCCGGTGAACCACTTTGGCTACTCGTTCTTGCAAGCATGCTACAAGCACTTGCTTGGCGTTGAAGAACAGGACTCTGGGAATAGAAACAAACATGTCATTTGACAATATTTGTAATTATAATAATTGTTAAAAAAAAGAATCTGCAATGATTTACTACAAAATAATACATAATATCTAGGAAGGTGCTATCGCAGGATAGCGATCCTTCTCACGCAGTCAAATAATATATACCTGTAGCAATATAGAGCTGAATGTACTTTGTATAGCTTGCTATGAAAAAAATGATAATAATAATTGTAGATCTATGTTATTTACTTTTTCTGGTTCCTGGTCCACCTGCGTTGGCATATCCATACTGGAATTCCATTTTAAACTGGGCGAACTTAAATCAGAACGACTGGAATTTGATGATGGTGCCGATTCAGCTTCACTCTGAGAACCAATTCCTGGTTCAGACATAGATGTTAGTATTGCAGAAGAACCTTCTGGGAGTTGTAGTGTATTTGGTGGTGTGTATAAGACACTAGCATCGATGTTAGAACCAAGGGTCATGAGGCCGGTTTCAGGGTGAGCACCGTAGACATCGTGTTCAACTGTAAGATAATAGATACTGGTAGAAAGATTTACTTGCTAGACAAAATCAATACTTACAGCTTAAGCCATCTGTGGTTTCAGGAATATTATCAGTCGACGATGAAAGCGAAGTGCTCGTACTCGTAGCATAAATTCCATCAGAATCCGAACCACTGTCATCTACAATACAAATCACCACATAAGCACAAACACCTACATAATTTACTCCTATAAATCAATACTTTCCAGCAGGTTGCACGTCATGTTTGCCGGCGTTCCTCAAAGCACCATTCAAAGAACTTCCATTATCCCAAACAATAAACCGTATTGGTTCCAATTCATGGGAAAACCATTTGGCTTTATCGCCAATTTGTTCAGGGTTGCATACGCCTGTTTGTACACGTTGAAAGGCCACATTGTTTGGAGTCAAGGACCATTCTGCCAGAAATTCTATGGCTTGGGTTCGAGCAAATTTGTCGAGGAAAGGTGATGAGGTTGGTCTGGATCGAAGAAAGCTGTTTATTTGGAAAGCAACCACTGGACGAGGGTAAAGTCTGAGGGTTCTTGCGTGCTCGGAAAAATGAGCCAGGAGATTTGGGGAATTAAAGAATTTTACCTAAAATAAAAAACTGTATTAGTACAATGTCTTGGCATGATCGTAAATGAGTTTTGCTTACCATGGCAACTCTGGTCATGATATCTACAGAATCTACATCAGTTCCAAATATCATGTGTTCTGGTGCAGGAGGCATTACTGAATTTCGCCGAGAATTTTTTTGGTCATCAAAGTCTCTGTCGTGTCTAACTTGTCCATTGCTTGTGTCATTTGGTTTATTTGGTAAATTTTGGGAGTTTGCATTTCCACTAAAAGCAAAAAGTAGAAATGACACATTAAACTTATTTTGTGTGGCATTAACAAGTGAAGGGTATGGGCGTGTTTCCATACAGAATTGGCCCCACCCTGGTATTTAAATTATTTTGATGCCATTTTATAGGTATTTTCGAGAAAATTCGATATACCAAATTTCAAATCCGTAGCTCATCATTTGGCCGAGACATTAGGAAAAACTCGTGAAAGTGGCCCCTTTTTTCAAACTCACTTTTTGTCGGAAATATGATAGATATAGAAAAACTGTTAATGTTATTCTATTTATGCTGATCTTGTCTATGTTGTTCATAACAAATAATGTGAAAACAATTATTTGTTAGTGTGTGAAAAGGTGAAATGATTTTTCATTTTTCAAATCCGTAGCTCATCATTTGGCCGATATATCAGTGAAAACATGTGAAAATGGCCCCTTTTTTCAAACTCAGTTTTTGTCGGAAATATGAGAGATATGGAAAAACCGTTAACGTCATTCTATTTGTACTGATCTTGTCTATGTTGTTCATTACAAATAATGTGAAAAAATCATTTCTTAGTGCGTGAAAAAGTGAAAATGATTTTTCATTTTTCATTTTCTACCAGTGCGGCTTTTTGGACTTTTTTTATATTAGCATCATTCGAAAGCCTGTACATTTTGCTTCTATTATTCAAAAATTTATTTAAATCTAAATGGAACTTTGGGAGATAAGTTGGAAAAACTTAAGCTAGTACGCGCGCTGCCGGTACAAAAACACCCATATAAAGTCGCTTTGCAAGAACGACTTTGATTATTTTTATTCGCCGTATAAGTTCTGACTAATATATTTCAATGTATGAAAAACTTAAGATTTCATTATTTTTCATATATTAAAAGTATATTGAAAAATATATCTCTGTGAGCAATTTGTTTACACATAGAATTTCACAAATTATAATTATTGTGGTTTTCCATGGTAAAATAGCAATTATTATTTTTTGATTCGATATTAGTTTTGCAAAAATCATATTTTCTTTTCTGTGCACTATTTATAACTTGACTCAAATTGCAATAATTTTACATTTTAGTGACAATTTTATCATGATATTGAAAAATTGCAAGTATTACAATAAATAGGTTGTCAAATATCTCCCTTCCGCCTTTTTGTATTATAAACCAATAGCAAAAAAGCGGAAGGGAGATATTTGACAACCTAATATTTACATAGAAAGGGAATTAAATTGAGAAAACTGTGGATGATGCAGAATTGTAAAGTAGTTACATAGAATAAATAATTATAATTGTTTTTACTATTTTCTGAAAAAATAATAGTTGTCATTTGGATAGCCATGGATAGCTATAATAATTATAATTTTAACAACAGAGATATATTTTTTGTAATATACTTTTAATACTAAATATATTTTTAATACTTATATGCTTGCGTTGAATAGCTATGAAATGATTCTGACATATATTTTTATCGATTTTTATTTAATGATAACTATATAAAATATAATAACAATGCAAAAAATCAAAAAAAAGGTAATGAATTAATATTAAAATACTTTTTATTGCCGACGTAAATATATGAAAAATATTGAAATTTTAAGTTTTTCATACATTAAAATATATTAGTCACAAGCTTATACGGCGAATGAAAATAATCAATAATAATAATTATTATTTTTATTCGGCGCTTTGGATTTTCATTATGACTAATAAATATACTTATATACAAGATATAAATAAATTTTGGTTTTTAATAAAACCTTTTTTCAAACTCACTTTTTGTCGGAAATATGAAAGATATCGAAAAACTGTTAACGTCATTCTATTTGTACTGATCTTGTCTATGTTGTTCCTAACAAATAATGTGAAAAAAATATTTGTTAGTGCGTGAAAAAGTGAAAATGATTTTTCATTTTCCATTTTCTATCAGTGCTGCTTTTTGGACTACTTTTATATTAGCATCATTCGAAAGCGTGTACATTTTTCTTCTGTTATTCAAAAATTCATTTGAATCTAAGTGAAACTTTGGGAGAAAAGTTGTAAAAACTTAAGCTAGTACACGCGCTGCCGGTACAAGAACACCCATATAAAGTCGCTTTGCAAGAGTTGAAAGAAGGGGCCACTTTCACATATTTTCACTGATATCTCGGACAAATGATGAGCTACAGATTTGAAATTTGGTATTTCGAATTTTCTCGAAAATACCTATAAAATGGCATGAAAATTATCATTTCCTTCATTCAAGGAAATTATCATTTCCTTTCAGCTTTCATAAGTGCAGTACCTCAATTTGTGTGGAGTCGATGTAGTCATATTGTCTCTACTAAACAGCGAGTTATCTGTAACTGTCATACTGTTGAGAGCCTGCAAAAAAAATTGTTGGTCAAACAAAAACAAAAATAAAAAAATTTAGGGTATAGTTTACTTGTTTCAGATGATTCTTCAATATCGATGCCTCTGGTTCTGGTAATTGAGGCAAATCATTAGCAAACCTTGGTGGAGGTGTCAATTTTGTTGAATCCAAATCTATCAACCATACATCATCAGGCAACCTTAGAATAAAAATTCGTTTATTGTACAACAAAGTGCTAAACATGCATTATTTTTCAATCTTTTTTCGGGAATGCAATACCGATGGAAAATTTCAATACCGGTTTTTCGGTAAATTTTCATTTTAAAACCGGAATACCGGTAAAAAACCGGTGTTTTTATTATCTTAAACAAACGTAAACAAAATTGAAAGTTACTAGTACAAATATAAAAAAATGTATGTACAACTACAACTATATTCTACTAAACAATAAAACCAATAAAATAAAACAATAAGTTTATTTTTTTAAATAATAATTTAACAAAATTATTAACTTCCCGTAGGGTAAGTTATTGTAATGGGCCGAAAATCGGAATTGAAAATTTTTACATTTCTCGACGTTTTGAAGGTTTCTGAACGTTTTGGCATACTTCAGAAAAAATGGATGTGTGTGTGTGTATGTATGTATGGATACAAATTTCCAGTCACGTTTTAGGGCGCACGGATTAACGGATTTAAATGGTTCAAAAAACATTCGATTCCTATTGATAGGGAAAAGAGCTGATTAGTTTTTGGCAAAGGCAGGTCCAGCCGTTTCGGAGATACGGAGCAAAGAGTGCAGAAAATAGAAATCGAATTTTTGAGAGAATGGAGTATCCGATTTGAATGATCTAAAAAACATTCAATTAGTAATGATTGGGAGAAGTGTTTATTAGTTTTTGGCAAAGGCAGGCCCAGCCATTTCAAAGATACGGAGCTAAATATGTAAAAAATGGCAGTTTTTGAGAGAACTAAGCGTCCGATTTAAATGATTCAAAAAACTTTCTGCTTGTCTTAACAAAATAATTGATTTTGGAAAAAAATTTTGTTCCAACTTTTTTTTTAGTTTTTTGTATATCAAAAATATTTCAGATTTTATTTTTAATTCTGACTATAATTCTAATATACTTAACAAATAATTTTAACTCTGCAATTCGGTTTATATAATTCTTATAAATATTAGACAATGTTACAATATTTATAATAATCTATTTGAAAACATTCAGTATTCCTCGAACATTTCGTTACGGTACGGGAAGTTCCAGCAATTTGCCTTAAGGCACGATGCCATAATTGCCTCAAGACAGAATTCCACTTACAGCTAGTATCCAATTTAATTAATTCATTATTACTATCGAGTATATTGAGTACTTTTCACCAGAAACAAACTTATGAGTAAGAAAAACTAAAAACTCATAAAATATCCTATAACGTTATTATAATGAACTGTATTGTCTGTATCCGATGTGTTAATAGCATAATCTCCAATATTTAAAAAAATAATTTTTCTACACTAATTTAAGATCGTATACTTTGTCGAGATAAATAATAAGTTACTATAATTGTTAAGTATTGTTATTTAAAACAATGTGATGCTTCTATAGTATTTTCAAACTTCAAAACGTTTTCTAAAATCATATTTTATAATTGTAAAGAAGCAAAAATATTTAGTAATTATCATAATTATTATGTATAAAGTTAGAGAAAAATAAGGATTACGCAGGGGTAATCTGTATGATATAAAATATTTTGGCGCAAATATCACCTAAAAAACCGTTAAATTTTTACGAAAGATGAAACAAACATCATTATATATCAGTCTAATTCTATTTATTGTAACACGAAACGAAGCCCTTTGGAAAGCAATAAATATTCAGTTTAATGACGAGTTGAGATAATATTTGACATTTGTTTATCTTATGTAATCATTTGAAGATATAGCTGTTTATGCGATTATGGAATTTAAAGATAAATTTGTTCCGAGAAATTTTAAACTTTAGTGTATTATGTATCAAATAGCGCTTATGTAAAGGTACCGAAAATACCGGTATGTTTGGGATAAATACCGGTAAAAATACCGCCGAAAAATCGGTCAGTTTACCGGTAATTCGGTATACCGGTATACCGGTATTGCATTCCCTAATATTTTCCACTTACCTAAATTGTTTTTTATAAAGCAGAAACGAAGCTGGAATCCCGATTATAAATGGTGTAGGAACCAGCAAAAGTTGTTCTGCACAGCTCATACAAGGCGGCAGAAGAGGTATTATCGGAAACATATATTCTAATGGGTAAATCATTGATACAAAACTCATCACAGACATTGATAATGCATTGTAGTCCCTTGATTGAACTAACACTTTGTGCTCTAACAGAATCAGAGATAAAACTTTTAGACAAGTGTCCACACCTAAAAATATATGGATTAAAAAAAAAATCAGATTAAATATATCAATTATTTCTTGCCTAGTAGTTCCAGAGGTAAGTGTAAAGGAAAGTCTACCAAAGTAAAACGCGTGTGATCCGGTAAGGCAAAAATTAACGGTTCGTTTGTTTCTGGTGATAAAATCTCCAATTCGACACGAGTTATTCCAGGAACAGGCACTGGTGCTGACAAAAGCCTCAAAATCCATGTCTCAATTTCACGAGCGTCATTTAGAACTATTGAAGATGCATTTTGGGTTTCCACAGAACGTCTTGCGCCTGTTAAAAGCGTCCAAACAGTTTCCCTAAAACAAAACACCATTAACAATTAGCCAGGTAAACATAAGTTTTTGAAGTAAAACTTCTTTAGGCGCGACACGGGTGTAATTCCGTACAAATGCAACGAAAACGCTAACGTGAAGTTGAAGACTACGACGCTAGTAAGCGCAGCTATCGCAATTATTCGATCTAGTCTGCGAGCAAAACAAAAAAATACATCAAATGTCAAATCATATGTCAAAAACAAAACAAAATGTGTCGACTTTCACTTGAGTTTTGTATTTAGCTCGTAGTCTCAAAACATTTATTGAAGTAAAACTTCTTTAGGCGCGACACGGGTGTAATTCCGTACAAATGCAACGAAAACGCTAACGTGAAGTTGAAGACTACGACGCTAGTAAGCGCAGCTATCGCAATTATTCGATCTAGTCTGCGAGCAAAACAAAAAAAATACATCAAATGTCAAATCATATGTCAAAAATAAAACAAAAATGTGTCGACTTTCACTTGAGTTCTGTCTCTAAACCTTTTTTGAAGTAAAACTTCTTTAGGCGCGACATGGGTTAGCAGTATAACTCGTGAGTTAATAAAAATGTCAGGATCGAAAGAATATTTTATTCCGTCCCCCATAAATAATTGTAGTGCAAATGATCGCAAATAAATAATGAAACTAAGGAAAAATCTGCGCTGCGTAAGAAATGATAGCTTTGGCTATGTATGTTTTGTGTGTGATCGACTTTGGCATCAAAGTGACTTAGAAATATCAAATGATGCTCAAAAACAAATTCTTAATAATGTTTTTTGAATATTGATTTAAATAATCAGGTTGGATGTCAAACTTGTCGAAACATATTAAGTTCGGGTAAAATTCCCACTTTGTGTAAGTTTAACGGGTTTGTTTTTCCACCTATACCAAATTATCTATCTAAACTAGATACTGTATCTGAAAGGTTAATTTCACCTAGGTTGTGTTTCATGCAAATTAGACGATTGCGACATGCAAATGTACAATTTGGAATGTTTGGCCAAATTATAAATGTGCCTGTTGACATTAATAATATGGTTAATTTATTACCTCGTAATATTGATGATGATCATTGCATTAACGTTCACATAAAAAAGCAAATGATTCATAGATCAAGCTATGTGCAGGGCTTGATAAATAAAACAAATATAAAAGTATGGCTTCAATTTGTTAGGCAAGACGGATATTACAGCTGTTCAAGGAATGAGATTATATCGTCAGCAAAAAAGTAAAAAAAAACAGTAAATTAATGTATGTTAATTTTAATTACATGAAGTTCTTCAAACACAATTGTTACAGGATGAGTTAATTTGCAAAAACAATATTTGTTTAGGCGTTGTTTAACATAATCCACTGTGTAAATGAATATTATAGAATTTAGTAATCAGCAATTACTTTAAAACGATCATGTCATATTTCAAGTACGACTTTGATTACATTATTGTTTGTAAATATTATACATATTTTTAATGCAATCATAAATATATAATTCATACTTTATCATTATATAAATGTGTATAATGGTTGACAGGACACTAATAAATGTGTGCATCACGAGTGTTACCATATTACTAATAACCATTATTCAAAATTTTTATATGATGTATTTATTTTTACTCAACTTAAATTTGCTACAATATACTTGCAAATAAGTTTTACTTCAATCGCGTGTGATCCTTACGCGCACTCTTTTTTTACCTTTAAACATATGTCTTTCATCCTTACCTGCCAATTTGTCGATAACTGCTCCTCCTAGGAATGTATGTAGTATCACAAGCGTCTATAAGATTTTTTAACAGCAATAAAATTTCACGAAATTTTGAAAAAAATGGATGGTGACTGAGGATGCACAAAGAGGTTAAAGATGATATGCGGGTTGTTTTTATTTTTCTTTCATTGTTACGAGGACTTGTTTTGCGACTTTCTGGTTCACTGGAATTTGCTTGATGACCTTGAATGGAAAAAATATTTTTAGTACTAAATAGTGCTTAAATTAGTGCTATTTTGTACCTAATTCAGATGCTGCCAAGTTTTTTCTTGACACGTTCTCGTCAGAATCGCCAGCTGATAATTTGTTTCTGTGAAAAGACAAAAAATTTTAGTGGTAATTGCAAGTGGAGCACATTATACTTAAATAAGTGCTTCAATAACTTCCCGTAGGGTATTTATAGTAATAAGCCGAAAATCAAAAATGAAAATTTTTGTATTTCTCGACGTTTTCAAGGTTTCTGAACATTTTACTAGCATACCTCAGAAACTAAATGGATGTGTGTGTGTTTTGTATGTCCAAATTTTTTCGTCCACGTTTTCGGGCACACGGATCAACCGATTTGAATAGTTTTAAAAACATTCGATCCGTATTGATACGGAGATGTGCTGATTAGTTTTTGATAAAGGCACGTACAGCCGTTACGGAGATAAAGAGCAAAGAGTGCAGAAAACAGAAATCGAGTTTTTGAGTCAACGGAGTATCGGATTTGAATGATCTAAGAAACATTGAATTTGTAATGATTGGGAGAAGGCGTGATTAGTTTTTGACAAAGACAGGTCGCGCCTTTTCGAAGATACAGAGCCAAATGTGCAAAAAATAACAATTTTGAGTGAACTAAGCGTCCGATTTGAATGATCTAAAAAACTTTCTGATTGTATTGACAAAACAATTGCTTTTGAGGATTAAAAATTATTATTTAAATTTAATTAAATTATATCTTTTTTATTTTTCATAAAATTTTTGTAATTTTGGATTAAAAATTCAAAAAATTACCCAGGCTAAGCACAGTCTAAGCGCCACTCTGGTACAAATGTTTATCCAAGTGCGTTCAGACTGTTTATGACTATTGAAAACTATAACGATTGAAAAATGTTAAAATGCCGCCAAGCTGAGCACAGTATAAGTGAAAATGTCGCACAGAATTATTTGCAAATGCGTTCAGACTGTGACTATATAGGAGCACTTTTTCATTTTTTCTGATAGTTTAGAATTTTTTTCAAAATTTTGGTAAATTTTTTAGAAGTTCGAAATTTTGAGAAAAATCTATTTTTTTAAATTTTTGAATAAATTTGATTTTTTTTATTAAAATTTCGAAATATTTTCAAATTTTTGTAAGAAATTATTTTTTTTAAATGTTTCAAAAATTTGATTTTTTTGAATGAAGAATTTGGAAAATTTGAATTTTTTTGAAAATTTTGTTTTTTTGAAAATTTTTAAAATTACGATTTTTTTTTGTAAAAGCATTTTTGCTATATCAATTTTTGCAAAGTTTTTGCAAAGTTTATTTTATTTTTTGAGAATTTGGATATTTTGAAAATATCCGATTTTTTTTTTTTGAAAATTTCGAAATATTCTGAATTTTTTGTAAAAAATGAATGTTTAAAAAAATTTTGATCTTTTTTAAAATCTTGATTTTCTTCAAAAATTATGAAAAAATCGAAGATTTGAATTTTTTGAAATTTTGGATTTGTTTTCTTGAAAATGTTTAAAATCACAAATTTTTTGCAAAATCATTTTGATCTTTTTTAATAAATTTCAAATTCTTGATGTTTTTTTCATAACTATAAAAAACCTTTTCAATTTTGTGTATAAACTATTGAAAAATGTGAAAATGCCGCCAAGCTAAGCACAGTATAAGTGAAAATGTCGCACGGAATTATTTGCAGATGCATTTAGACTGTGACTATACGGGATCACTTTTTCAATTTTGTGCAAATTAGGTAACTATTTTTTTTTTTTTAATGGAATGACGATTATTAATGTTCCGGAGATAAATTGATTTATGATTTATGATTTATATTTGATTTGCTCAGATATAACAAGATTGCAAAAATAATGATAGTTACAGTATTTGTAATATAACGTTTAAAATTTCTCGAATATTTCATTACGGTACGGGAAGTTCGAGCAATTTGCCTTAAGGCACGATGTCATACACCACTAGTTATTTACTTTACCTTGAGGTAGGAGAGTCAGTAACTTTTTCTGGTAAGGTTGCTTTTGAAATTTTTTGACTGGATTGTGTTTCTACATTAGTTGTAGATTGTTGTCTGGTTTTAACACGTTCTACTTGTCTGTAGAAATTTACACATACGCCATAACGTGTTTTTCCTGCAAGAAATAACACAATTTATTATAGATACATGACACAAATTTCTGATTATGATTTTTAATGTAAATCCTGACGATTTTTTGATGATGCAAGTTATAGTATGGATCAAGATTTTAAAATGAGGTGTGACAAGGTTAAAATAATCTTGGTATCAAAAATACAACAAGTAACATTGGATTTTCAGACAGTTTTTCATCAATTTATCAGTTTCTGGTTAAAGATTAGAAGCAACTTTTGCCTAAACTAAAGGACATGTTTTTGTTATAAGTGGTATATAAAATAACTAGTTTTTACTGGTTTTATTTTATGACAAGAAAATTTACTTACGAGTGTCTTCTTGTACTTAAATAATTTATTTGCCAAATTTTTCATCAATCAGAGCAAAAACTAAGTAGTTTTCTCTGAACACACCAAAACGTAAAAATTAATTTATAACTAAGTCAAGACTAGGGTTTATACAAAAACCGACATTTCAGAAAACCGGTTTTCGAATTTTAATTTTACTAAAAAAACGGTTTTCGGTCAAATTTTCGAATTTTATATAGAAAATAAATATTTGCTCGAATATTCTATAATTTATCTGCAAATTTAGTGCGATTTAGAGCAGTATTTGACTGAATTTATTTATTGTTCAATTTTATGGATAGTAAACAAAATTATTTTAATTTTAATTAGTAGAAATAATACTTTATACTGATTAAATAACTTTGAAAATAATTATTCGTTATTCATGCATCATTTTCACATATAAGAATGAAAATATTTTTATGATAGTGAAAGGAAAGTTTTTGAATAAATAAAAATATTATTTAAAATTATAATCAAATACAAAACATTCCTTAAATTAATATTAGATACATACTCGTTAATATCTATTTTGGTTTTAAAAAACAATTAAGCTAAACTCGGGTGTTGTCTGTTCCAAGCAATTTTAATTATTTTGAACATTCTAATTGTTTTTTTTTTTTTTTGTTCATAAAAATATGATTTCAAAAAACTGAGAACATATATTGAATTGCTACTTAGACATGTCCTTTGATTACTCACAAAATTTTCTGAAATAAAAAATACTCGCATACTTGCGATTTTAAATTGTTTTTAAAGCCTGATATAATAATTCTAAGTTTTTTGTTCTTTAATTTGTGACTTTTAGGGTTTAAAACTCTTTTTCCTAAGTTTGAGTAGAGAAAGTTACTTCAAGAAGTCACATTGATTTTATATTAAATGACTATATACACTGGTATAAAAATCTAAATTAATATATACAAAACCTTTCTGGGAATCATTGCAGACTGATAGGATATCAAATGCTATTGAAACGATATGATTTCAAGAACCAAAACGCTTTCATCTATCTTTTATATTTGGCTATATTTGTCATTTTCCATTTATACAGTGAAAACCAACTTTTTTCACTAAAAAACCGGTTTTTGAATTCCATAATTTTTGCCAAAAACCGGTTTCTAAAACCGGTCAAGACGAAAATAGAACTAAGAATGAAACTTGGTATTTAGGCATAAAAAATCTTAAATGAAATAATTAGTTGGTTGCCAGAGTTATTTGAGCATTCGCCAGGCAGAGAAAAAGCAAAACTAGTGTCTTGGTACTTCCAAATTAGAACAAATGATTCCTTATCTAATTTACCTGAGTCTTTGTCAGTTAAGGCAAAAACAAAACTAGTAATCTCCGACTTGGTATTCCTTTTCGAAGGCATAGAAACACATCCTTCGGGCTGACAAAAATAAACCATATCCAAAGGCAAAGGAAAGTCCTCATGATCTTGCAGGGGATATCTCCTCAACAATTCAGGTTGCTGAAGTAAAATTAAAAAAATATTGGCAATAAGACATCAGAATGGATATATATATATATATATATATATACTAGCTAACCCGGCAAACGTTGTTTTGCCATAAAAAATATGCCTAAATTGATAAAAAATCAATAAAAGTGCCAAAAATCAAATATTTAATAGATTTGGACTCTGATTCTTTGACAAATAGTTAAAAACTTGTTATAATTTTGAAAATTACTTGACATTTCATACTTCAAAAATTAATTCACCCGCATCATAGTTTTTTGTTTATTATACTTTTGTCATGTCATATATGTCAATAAAATTTTCTTTCAAATATTATTTATTTGTTAATGAATTAATAATTATTTTAAGTCATCAATGAATAATTACATAATTAAATTCATAAGTTTGGCCAAATCAACACAGGAATAATGTGAAAATAAATATTTTTTTACATAAAGATCTGATTTTTGACATTTGCATTTTATTTCAAATTAATTATAACTGTCAAAATATTTTCTTTTCTGTCAAAATTTAATATAATATAATATAATATTTAGTTTGTCTAGTTTGTTTTTGTCAGATTCTAATGATATCCTCAGATTGTACTATTCCATTTAAGAGGTTACAATTTCCTGTAAGATTAGCATTTGCGATGACAATCAAAATATATCTTAACTGATATATTAATAATAATATTATATTTTTATTACACAAATTTCTTTACACTCCGATAAATAATTCCTACGCATCATAGTGTTTTGTTTATTTTAATTTTGTTTATGTCAATTTTTTTTTAAATTAAAGAATAAATCAAATTTTAGTCTAAATCAACGCAGTATCCTTATATAAATATACATTTTTTTATATAAATATTTGATTTCTTACATTTGCATTTAATTGAAAAATAGTGAATGTCAATTTCATATATCCAATATGCATTAAATTCATAAATGTCAAAATATTTCCTTCTTGGTCCAAAATTAATATAATATGATAATATTTATTTTACGATAATGTTTTGTATCTATAATTTGCTTGGCAATATTGCCTCTAACATAACTTGGAATAATTAATTTATTTGCTTCTTAAAGAAGTAAATCGTTAAACATTTTTTTTGTGAAATGTCAAAATTTTGTTTATGATTAATTTTAAATTCAATATGCCGCTTTTTTATTGTGATCTCTGATCTATAATGTTTTGATGAAGTTTTGGTTTCCGAAATAATTTAGTAGGCTAATCAATTAAATCTAAATCGTAAATCTATTTATATAATTATTTTCATAAATACTGACAAATGACATTTAATTTTTTTACATGTCAACATTTATTCACATTTTTAAGCATGGATTTTTAATTAGATTTAGAAATATAAACAGGGATTTTTATTAAAACATTTCATCAAATTTGGATTTAAATGTTGGATATTTCTATATATGTACATGTTTTTGAATTTTATTTTTTGAAATGTCAAAATGTTTTTTCAAAAATTATATATGGAAATTTCCTTAAACTTTGACATTTGTCATTTTAGTGTTTTGTTTTTTCTTTGGTCATTTTCCGTCAAAATTTTTAGAAATGTATAAAAATTATATATTTATATTTTAAATTTACTTCTCAAAATTTCCTATAACTTAAGTTGGATATATATGCACACGATGAGCCAATAAAATTTGAAATCGGTTCAGTAGTTTGGGCGTCCATCGCGAACCTACATCGTGACACGAGATTTATATATATATATATATATATATATATATATATATATTTACCTGCATAAGATGTCCAGCCAAAGTCCTGCTCCCACGTGACACCGTTCTTGGCCCACTTCTTGAGCCAACAATGGCCAAATAGTCTATTAGTCGGGGGCATAGTGATTGTTTTTGGGTTTCGTTCATTGTGTGATTTTTTTTTTTAATAATTTTTATTCGCCAAGGAATTTTTGGTGTTTAAATTCGGCTCGACAGCCACTTTTGTGGGCTTGTCTGCGGTTTGGTAAAACATTTTTAGCTGAAAATAAAAGAACTCCAGAAATTTATCATGATCATATTAATATGAATAAATTTTTTATGTATGAAATTAATGAAAAACGGGATAGAAAGTATTACATGTGTTTCTCCTGGCTCTAAACTACCTCCCTGACAATTTTTATCTAAATCGGTTCAGCTGTTCGTGAGCTATAAGTGTTCTAACTTAAGCGATCCTCTTGTATGTATATATATATATATATATATATATATATATATATATAGATCTATTTGTATCTTCAATTCCAACTTTATATTTATTGTAATAACAAAAAGTAACGATGTATAAATCAAGTGTACCTCTCAGGCATATTTAGAATGCAAATTAAAACTCTCCAAAAATAAAAAATAAGCACGAAATTGACCAATTTTTTATGAAATTGGACAAACTTTAAAAAAAGCTCAATTTGTGATGAATATTTTGAACAATTTTTATTATCAAGTTCCTAAACGAACTAATTTTGTTTACAGCTCACACATAAGGAACACAGTTTATTGCAAGAGTGTACCATTTTTGCATGTATCCAGGCGTATTAAAAGTGAAAACGAGCATTAATAAGGAAAACAATGGTTTAATTTTTGACGAAAATAATATACTGCCACATTTTTTTTTAACAAATTACAGTTTTTAATGTACTGAGAGGGAAGCACGGTTCTTTAAAATTTGGTAAGTTTTTTTTTTTAGTATTGATATCATATATATGCAATGGCAAATTCGTCAAATTATATGAGAAAAAATATATATACTTTATTTATACGTTTTTATAATTTTTATTTTATTTTTATTTGTACTTCATATGTATCATCTTTATAATACAGCTACACTTTATAATAATAAATTAAATATGAAAATTTAAATCATAAATATTATAAACAAACTAACCTACAAATAATTTTATTCTAACTATTATTAACTATTCATTAAATTCTAAGTTTAGTTCTTCTAACCCGAATTTTTTTTCATATGAGTAAAAATATAATTTTAAAGCAAATTCGGTACGGATTTTCTTTACTTAAAATTTTGAGCAAATTTTCTTTCAAATTTCTTTCAAAAATTCTTTGTTTTTCTATATAAATTAATTAAAAAATCGCAGTTTATAATCGGGAAAAATTGAAAACAAATCAAAACATTTTATAAAAAAAACTCCAAATTCAGTTTATTTTGGATAGTGATAGATTCAGCAAAATATTTAGGATGTTTTGTTCAAAAGATAAACATTGGTACGGAACCCCAAAGAATATTTATATTTATTATTAAAATCTCTATGAAATATCTAATAATTTGATGTGCATATGGCATTTTTCTCAATTTTTTTACTCGTTCTCCGAAACCGTTAGACATGCCTCTTCAAAAATTCTATAAATTCTTCACTTTGTCAATTCAAATGCAATGTTTTTTGAATTATTGAAATCGGACGCTCCGTTCTCTCAACAACTGAATTACGATTTTTGGCACTTTTTGCCCCGTATCTCCGAAACGGTTAGACATGCCTTTGCCAAAAACTAATGAGCACGTCTTCTTATCAATACAAATCGAATGTTTCTAGAATCATTCAAATCGGGTGAACGATGCGCCCGGAATTGTCGACGAAAATTTGTATCCGCACACACACATACATTCATCTTTGCTAAGGTATGCCAAAATGTTCAGAAACCTCTGGAACGTAAATATATAAAAAAAAATTGATTTTAGATTTTTTGCGATTACTATAACTTACCCTACGGAAGGTTAAAAATATAAATAATGTAAAGATTAATTAATTAGAAGACTAAATATTATTTCTTAAATCATACATATGTCTGATATAGTCGTATAAGTCGTATATACAAACTTTATTTAATTTTTTAACTTTAAAAAAGTAAAGGTGATGGAGTAACTGCGTTTATTAATACTAAATATATATATATATTATATATATATATACATATATTTCAAATTTACAAATCAGTTTGAAAATGTTTATATTTCATATGCGTTTTTCTAGTCGTAAGAAATATATCCTCAGATGGATTCATTCGGCACCTCTTGATAATGTAAACCTTCTCAAGTGCTTTGAGCCATATTATCATCACTGTATATTTTATGAACGATTAAATATATACAAATTATAATTATCTATTTGAAAATGAATAAAACAATTGTTATTAAACATTGAACACTATTTATTGACTATTAATTTTTTACCGTCGAATATTTAATTCTAAAAGTTTCAGCAATTTTCCTTAAGGCATGATGCCATGCACCACTAGTTGTATATTGAAAATAATTCAAATTTTTTTTATAATACTGGCTAAGGTTCTAAAACTCTTTTATATACTTTAACTAAATAATTTTAACTTAGATATAACAATTTAGTAAAAATAATGAAAGTTACAGTATTTGTAATAATATATATATGAAAACGTTTAAAATTTCTCGAATATTTTATTACGGTACGGGAAGTTCCAGCAATTTGTTTTAAGGGACGATATCATACCACTACTAGTTATATTTATATTTATATGTATATTTATTTTTATATTTATATTTATATTTATATTTATACTTATGTTTAATTTTGTTACAATTTTTTGGTTTCCGTACCAAGATTGTTAATTTTTAAAGTTCACTCATACGGTTCAAGCAAATTTCAAAAATTTCAGGACAATTTATTTTCAAAATTTTCAAATGTATATATATATTTATATATATATAAATATATATATATTTCAAATTTACAATTCAGTTTAAAGATGTATATATTTCAAATGCGTTATTCTAGTCGTAAGAAATATCTCCTCAGATGGATTCAGACGACACCTCTTGCTAATGTAAACCTTCTCAAGTGTTTTGAGCGATAAGATCGTCACTGTATATAGTAATTATAATTATCTATTTGAAAATGTTTAAAACAATTGTTGTAAATCATTGATTAATATTTATTGACTATTAATTTTTTACCCTTGAATATTTAATTCTGGTACGGGTAGTTCCAGCGATTTGCCTTGAGGCACGATGCCATACACCACTAGTTTATTTATTCCATGTACTTTTAAATATTTTTTTGTGTCTAACAGGTGCCCTTATAAAGTGTCCTATATACGGTTTCGCAAAAATCAATATTGTCAGAAAAAGCAACGTTTTACATGAGTACTCATATAACCACGCATATCACTAACACCCAAATTAAATACATCGATCCTTATAACATATAATAAATATAATATATAAAATAAATTTTTTATATATTATATAAATTTTATCTCTACCTTTTTTATTCCTATTGGCACTTGTATAAAGAACAAAATTTGTTTTATCAAACTAAAAAAATACGACACCGAAATAATGGAGCACTATTTGCGGTCGATCGCATATTGTACTGCCTTCGTAGGGTTGGTAGAAGTCGTCGGTAAAGTTCGGTTAGGGCATGCGCATTAAAAACCCTTATTTTTTGGTTTGAAGGTGGAGGGACTGTTTGGTGATTTTGTATGCGAGTCGGTTGTATTTGAATTGAACAAGTAAAAAAAAATTAGAAGTTTTAAGACATTTATTGTTAACTTTATGTTGCTTGTGTTGAAGTTTGATACTAAACACTCTATGCCTACTCTATGTTTATGTATATATGTTTCTCTTTTGTTTTGTGTAAAACAAGTGATTGTTAATAATATTTGTAATGCATGTTTTTAGTTAAAGAATATATAATCAGTCATTCTGTTTTTATCCTTCTGCATGAACGGTTATATTATTATTCACACAAACTTTTAACATAAATTCTACACCTTGTACTTGCACTTGTTCTGAACTCTCTTATTCTTTTGATATAATTAAACCCATTTCTAGACATGTTAGTTAAAAATTAGTTAGTACAATAAATTGTAATAAAATAGGATAAATAGGACTAATTCCGTTACAGTACAAAATAATTTAGAATTTTTTTCAAAATTTTAGAATTTTTCTAGAAGTTCTAATTTTTTTTAAATTTTTGGAAACATCTATTTTTTAGTTTTTGAAACTGTTCGATATTTTTGTTTTTGGAAGAAATCGATTTTTTTTAAATTTTTCAAAGTTTAGATTTTTTTAGAAAACTATGAAAAATTTCGAAAATTTGATTTTTTTGAAAATTTTGAATATTTTCTTTTGAAAGTTTTTAAAATAACACATTTTTTTTATAAAAGCATTTTTGCAATTTGAATTTTTGAAAAAAAACGATTTTTTTATTTTTTGAAAATTTGGAAATTTTCGAAAATATTCGAGTTTTTTTTTGATAATTTCGAAATATTCTGAAATTTTTGTAAACATTTGATTTTTCAAAAAAAATTGATTATTTTTACAAATGTTTAAATTCTTGATTATTTTCGAAAATTATGAAAAATATTGAGGATTTGAATTTTTTTAAATGTTGGATTTTTTTTGAAAAGTTTTGAAATCGTAATTTTTTTTGTAAATTTTGATTTTTTTTAAATATTTTTAAATTCTTTTTATTTTGCGAAAATTATAAAAAAATTTAAGACTAGAATTTTTTTAAATTTAATTTTTTTTTTTGAATTTTTAAAATCTCGAAATTTTCTGTAAAAGCATTTTTAGCACACCGTCTACACAAGCAAAATGTTTTTTAAATTAATCTAATCGGATGATCCCTTCTCTTAAAACCTGCATAACTGTTTATACACTCTTTACGCTCCATTACTCCGAAACGGCTGGACGTGCCTTTTGCAAAAACATCTTGCGATTGAGTGTGATTTTTTTGATCATACAAATCGGTTATTTCATACTGTCGAAAATGTCGAGGACATTTGTTTGAATAATATACGTGAGTTTTAAAATTGAAAATCTTGATACGGAACCCAAACAAATTGACACAAAATGTGTACACATTATTAAAATCTCTATA